GCAAACGGATCACCCTAGATGCTCCAAAAAGCCAGTGGCACCATTGCTCATTGGCAATGGAACCGGGCCATATATAAATATAGCACTGTTAAATGGGGCTTGCCTTCTTTGTTGTCTGTTCATTTTCCTTTCAACTAATGTGGTTTGTCATAACTGGCTTTTCAGGTAGATAATCTTTCTGAAGTTTTGGTTACTGAAAGCAAGGACAAAGTTGCTCTTCTCATTGATTCCATTCGAAAATCCAGCAAGCAATTATGTGTCACTTGGTTGAAGAAGGAGCTGTCATTTGGAAATAGCAAAGCTGACAGTGTAATTCAAAACCCAGTTTTACATCTCGTTCTAAAATATATAACTCATATTTCACAGTTACTCATATATGTATTTGCCTGATATAATCAGAATCGTATTTGTTCAATGGTTGATACATTGGATGAGGATGGAGGCATTTTGCAGATCATCAGAAAGTTGGGCAAGGAGGATCTATATGTAGAATTGGTGTCTGTTACTAATTTTGGTTTCATCAGGTTCTCTCATGATTTTTCTATCCTTGGTTCCAATATCTAATACTTTGTATTTATCTTTTTAAATTATGTAAATGATTGTTTTTACTTTAAAATGGGAAACATGCTTTTTTTGCCATTGTGCATCATTTTGCTTCTGTATTCCCTACCCAAGTGTTTCTTGGTAATGCCATTAAATGTTTATTGCTCTTTATTGACTTCACAACTGGTTGGAAAAAGAGAAAAAGCCTACATGTCACTTGTTCCTTTTTTGACAAGATGGGATGATAAAAGAACACCATATCTTTTCATTCAACTTAAATAGGATTGAGGAAAATAAGTTCTTTTATAAATGAATGTGGAGCTATAATGTGATACTCATACATCCTAAACACTAAATGGTCAACCCTATTCTTCTGGCAACTCTTGTTCTTTAATGTCATGGATTAGATCCAAAGATACCTTGGGAAGGAACATGCAGGTTGAATATTTTCCTTTCTAAAAACAGGGATGGAGCCTATTATGATCATAGTTTTTTCAAAGAGCATGGGGTGGCCATATTAGAGGATTTGGTAATTACATTGGCAGAAGGGGCAGCAAGCATGTATTTGGAGCTTATTTCAGTGGATAGTAGAGTGTCAAATGAAATGAACAGTCTTGGTTTAAGTTTATGTACTTTATCTACCCGAGCACTTCAGAGGTTAAGGAACGAGGTAATTTAAGTCTGTAATTATAAATGCACACAAGGTGCCTGTGTAAATTCTTTTATAAAATGTTGTCTGAATAGCAATCTCAATAACTTTGTGAATTGGGACTAATGCCCTGCATATTCGATTGAAGAAGGATATTAGATCTTGATCTTGTCATAAACCACTGGCGAAGTTTTATAAGACTCAATTAACAAATGCAACCGTCATATTGATTTTTCCATGATTATGTTTTGGTTTCACAACATCTAACATTATTTTAACAGGTGGCAATGCACAGGTGGTTACATCATAACATGGGAGCAGTTGTATCAATGTATGAGGACCGCTTTGACTTGTGCACGTTTGAATGCCAACCTATAGAGGAGTCAGGTAAAAGGAGAGTTGAAAATCATCATTGGTGGAATAAACTTGGTCTTATTAGGTCAAAAACTGTATCATCTTCCTTGCGAGTTGCCTTCATCAACCAGATATCTATAGCTGCTAAGCGCACCAAAGAATTACGGTCCCTATCTGGATGGTATGCACAACCCCCTCCTCTATATGGTTACAATATTTACTATCACCGTAAAGAAGACTGACAGCTTTACCACTTGTGAAGTATTCAAGAGTGAGAAGATTGACAGCTTTACCACTTGTAAAGTATGGGTATCACTGTCTTTTTTTAAAAAAATTACTCCCTCTATCCCGGAAAGAACTTTCAGTCTTTGACTTTTTGAGTTCAAGAAAAGTGTTGAAAAGTGGGTAGGTGAAATTTGTTTAGATGAGAGAAATTTTGTAGATCATATACTCCGTATTACTTACCTTTTAAGGAAAAAGTAGAAGTGTGAAGTTTTTTTATCGGAACATCCAAATGAGGAAAGTGTGAATTTCTTTTCGGGATGGAGGGAGTAGCTTTTATGGAAAAGAGAACTTAATTTGAAGACATCCATAAAAAGGAACATTAAACTTAAATTGTGGAACAGTAGGAGTACAATTGTACAAATCACTGCCTTTTCCCATTTTGGATTGGCTTACAATATAATTTCCGAATAAGTTTGAGCCAAGCCTTATTCTGCACTGATGTGTAACTATGTAAGAATTACAATCTCCATAAATACGACTGCCGAGTGCCGATCCTTTGTTGCACTTGTGTATTGCAGGATTATGTTTGCCGTTTTTCTAGAAATAGCCGATTGCATAAGCATCTTGTAACAAACTTTGACAGTCTTTTCTCATGCATTCTTTCTCATATGTTTCAGGAGGTATTACTTCAGTCTTTTCCTTGAATTGTCTGATATCGCCATGCCCTTGATAAGAACAGTCATTGCCAAGGTCAGCGATGCAATTTCATTCTTTCTAGTTTGCTTGATTGGGAGATCTCTGGGACTTATCTATACTGGTATAAGGCAATCCCTCAGATGGAAGTGAGAAAACAGGGCGTTTCTTCATCATTGTTTTTCTTCTAATTTTTTGCCTTGGCTTTAATGGTCATAGGAAATCTATCAAAGTTTTGATCACTTCTGTTACTGCAATCTTAAGCATGCAATGAGTTTATTTATATGATCTACACTTGATGGAGTGTGCACATTATATGGTCCACACTTTACACTTTGGGTATGCATTGACGATTTGATGCCATTGAGTTAGGAAATAGTTTAGAGGACCAAGTTATAGTCACACCAACTTTGACACCACAGTGTGACATCATGCGTTTCATAGACATACACATGCACGATTGTTTGGCAACCAAATGCGTATGACAAAGAGAGTTTTTACCTATTATTATCTGAATACAAAAACCAGTAGTCCCACACAAGATAAGGGCTACAAAATTAATTTCAAAAGTGGATAGTAGAATCTTATTTTGGGACGAATAAAAAAGGAAATGCAAAACTTTTTTTTGTGGGACATGGAAAGTATATACTATGTATAAGCCATTGTTTTATATAATGAATGTTCAAACAAAGTAATCCATTACTCCGTATTAGATAAAGTGGAAACTATGTACTCTCTGTCGAAAATATTTTTCTTACTTTCCTTTTCAATCTATTCAGACATATTTTTCACATTTTTAGATTACTTCTTAAAGGTAAATGCCAATAACACCCTTTTACTTTAACATCCACCAATCCAAATTAATTCACCCTCAAATTAAAGTAGGGACAATCTTGAAAGTTTGGCACTATTTTTCTACCTTAAATAAGCGTGGGAAAAACATTTTCAGACGAAGTGAGTACCTGATATTTAGAAAAATGTTATGTGAATCACACATTGTTTTTTTATTATAAACACATTGAAGTTGAATTAAGATGAAAAAAGAAAAAAAAAGTGTCACAATATATATGATATTTGAGGTTATTGTCATAAGACCCGTACTTTTTATTTAATTGATGATCAAAGTTCGCCTAATTTAACCGCAAAAAATTGAATTAGACAAAGACACTAATACCGGAGCAATTGGCAAATGGATTTACGTTGGTGAAATAGAGATAGAAAGTTGTCATTAATTTAAGTAGGTTTGATCAACCACATTCTATCTTATTGTAGGCATATTAAACGGAATTTTATCTTGAATTTGTTGATAAATTATTATTTTTAAATACCATTTGACACCATTAAGGATGGAGAAGCCATGGCAAAGTCTACTTTCCTTCCCCAATGTCTCCATTTTCTGCGGGGGGAGAAATAAATTTTCTTAAAAAAAAATATCAAACTTTATCTCTCTCCCCCCATCTCTCTGTTTCTCTCTTTCATGAATTCCTCAGAATCATTTTAATCTGTTTACAAATCTAGAAAAAGGCACATACATCAATTTGCAATAGATTCAAACATATATATCTCCATCATATATAATTACAGATAGTATAATTATTATTATTTCTGATTTTACTGTTACTAGGTGGATTTACCACCCACATTAATTACTCATATATTAGATTCATAATTAAAGTTTGGGTCTCATAAGACAGGCATTACCTGTTGCAGGGGTTCCATTTCATCTCAAAGCCAAAGCCATGCAGTTATTATCATATATTTCTTAGATAATCTTCTGAATCATAATTATTATAATTATAATTATTGTAATTATTATTAAAACAAGGCAAAACCCAAGAATAGATCGATCCTTTCTTTGATTGATTGTTCTGGGAATTCGGAAAAAAGATGAGCTGTTTTTCGTGTTTCACTTCTCATGAAGATAGGAAGGCTTCGTCCAAGAGGAACGAAATGGCACCCCGAGACGGGACCCATCCATCTCCGCCTCCGGGTAATTACAATGCAATTTTTCGATGGAATTTTTATGTAGTTTTTAAATATGTTATAAATGTTAGAATATAAATAACTAAAGCTTGAGCTTCTGGTTGAATTGGTTCCTTGACATGGTATCGGAGCCTCATTGACTAAGAGGCCACGGGTTCGAAACTCAGCTCCACCCAGTTAAAAAAAATTAAGGTTTCACGTGCAAGGCTCGAAAAAGACTACGCATGCACGTGGGGGGCGTGTTAGAATATAAATAACTAAAGCTTGAGCTTCTGGTTGAATTGGTTCCTTGACAATAAACGAATTAGCAGTTTAACTTTTAAAGATTGAAATTACAGAAGACAAAAAGGGGACTAGAGGAGGGGAAGTGAAAAACCAAAAACACGAAAACAACAACAAGATTGCAGCACAAACATTCACGTTCAGGGAGCTGGCAGCCGCCACCAAGAACTTCCGGAAAGAATGTCTTATTGGCGAGGGCGGATTCGGCCGCATTTACAAGGGCCGCTTGGAGAGTACTGGCCAGGTAGGTACTAGTCAAAATCATTGCGGGACACAAGTTCAAAGAAACCAACTCAAGCTTGTAGTTGTAGGTCCAGGAAAGGTTTTTATATTTAGAGAATACAGTATGTCCCAAAAAGTTACAAAATCAAATATGGCGTGTGCAGATTGTGGCAGTGAAACAATTGGACCGTAACGGGATGCAGGGAAACAAAGAGTTCCTAGTGGAAGTCTTCATGCTCAGCCTTCTTCACCATCCCCACCTCGTCAGCTTGATCGGTTATTGCGCCGATGGCGATCAAAGGCTTCTTGTTTACGAGTACATGCCATTGGGTTGTCTTGAGGACCATTTACTTGGTATTCATTCATTCATTCATGCCTCAACTCTCCAAACTAATTTCCCTTTTTTAAATATATTTTGTTGAATTGTTATAACAAGCTTCATGCATTTCTTCAGATCTTCATCCCAACCAAGCTGTGTTGGATTGGTCAAAGAGGATGAAGATCGCGTTACACGCAGCCAAAGGCTTGGAATACTTGCACGAAAAGGCCAACCCGCCCGTGATTTACCGCGACTTGAAGTCCTCAAACATACTCCTTGACACCGAATTCAATGGCAAGCTCTCTGATTTTGGGCTTGCCAAGGTGGGGCCCGTCGGAGACAATTCCCACGTCTCTTCGCGGATAATGGGGACGTACGGGTACTGTGCTCCCGAGTACCAAAGGACCGGCCATCTCAGTGTCAAGTCAGACGTCTACAGCTTTGGGGTTGTGTTGTTGGAATTGATCACCGGAAAGAGGGCGGTTGACCCTATGAGAAAAGGCCATGAGCAATTGTTGATTGCCTGGGTAAGTCTCTGCATTGAGTCACACAGTAAAAGATTGAATCCAATTGATTAACTAGTTAAGTTGTTTATATGTTTGATAGGCGGAGCCGTATTTCAGAGACCAGAGCAAGATCTTTGAACTCCTGGACCCGCTTCTGAAAGGAAATGCGCCGAAGAAGAGTTTTAGACAAGCGGCTGCAATAGCAACAATGTGCTTGGAAGAGGATCCGGAAGTGAGGCCATTGATGACGGATGTGGTGAGTGCTCTGAGTCATCTTTCGGATGAGCTGAGGAGCAAATCAGATGATTCTTCCCACGAGGAGGAATCTCCGACAGAGGACAATAATAAGAAGAAGAATGGTGGGTTATCCGCGGAGGAAGAACGCCAAAGAGCTGTTGCAGAAGCCATAGAATGGGGCGCGAATTCGAGAAACCAGCAAGCATGACTATGAATGTGAAAAGCTGTTCATTTGAGGATCACGCCACAGTCACACCACGGACGACACCAAAGTTGACACCTTCAGTATTTCATAATGTGATTGTTTCTGGTGTTGTCATCCCAAAGGTCAAAATAGCATTGCTTATTAATTTGGTTCCTTTAGTGTTATGTAAACTATGCTTATTATCCATTCAATCTTTGTGACTCTTTGTGACACTCTCTGACCTCTGCCAATGAGCCAACTAGTGTAAAAAATTTATTGAAGACTCTGCACTTAAGATTCTCCTTGAAAGTTTTAAATCTAGGTAGTATGGAAGCGAAATGGATTATTATTATTATTATTATTATTATTATTATTATTATTATTATTATTATTATTATTAGCATTATTATTATTATTATTATTTAGTACTCGTATAATTTTGTAATATATAAAATATATTTTGAATAGATGTGATTGGTAATAAATTTTGGTCAAAACTTATGAGACAGTTAATTACTCCCTTTGTCTCAATTTATATCATTTGTTTTGACTTATTATATTTGACTAAAATTATTTCCAAACCATTTTTAATGAAAAATGGTGTAGAATTAAAAAAAATTAAAATTACATATTAAAATACTACTTTCTCCGTCCTAGATTGATCTTCTCAGTTCAATTTATGAGGTTTGACTGAAATAATTTTTAATTCAATATATTTTATTATAGGTGTAAAATTAAAAACTAAAAATTATACGGAGTATATTTTAAAACTACGTGTACGTCAAAAGTTCTTCAAAAAGAGGTGATTTGACTATATTATTTTATCAAATAACTAATGAAATAATTAAAGAAAGTGATTAAAGTTTAACCATGTGAATAATGATTGAGAAGATCATTTTAGGACGGAGAGAGTTCATCAAAAAAACTACCAAACTAGTGATGACATAATTATTCTATTTTATCAAATACTACCTCCGTCCCACTCTCTTTGTCCATTTTTTACTTTTGGAACTGTTCATCTAAGCACTTTGACTCATCAAATTCTCTCAATGTGTAAGCCTAAATATAGTCATGTGTAATCTTGTTTGATTTGTCTTAACATATAGATTATTAATATATAATTTTTTTAATTTTTTAATGTACAAATTACAAGATAAAATGGATTAAAGAAGTGCATTGAATGGTGTGCCAAAAAGTAAGTGGACAAAGAGAATGGGACGGAGGAAGTACTACGTAACTACCGAAAATATAAAAATGTGAATAATAAACAAACAATTTCATTTTCAACGGAGAGTTACAATTGATTTGGGAGAGTATTTAAGAATCAACATTTCAAAGAGTCCCTCCGACCTCTACCCATTAAAATAATTAAATGCTCAGTCTCGCGCCTCTCATCTCAAAACACTCCAATCATTCTTCATCTTCGGCGGCCCCCCCTAGAGAGAGATCAGAGATGGGAAAGCACATGAGAGAAGCCAAGATCGCCGGCGACGTGGCGGTGATAGAGCTACCGCAGCCCACAATCGGCGTTCGCACCCGCGCCAGAATCCTAGCATTACTGCGCCGACAATCCTCCGCCCCGCCGTAAGGAAAAATCGCCCAGGCGTAACAGAAAATACGGGCCAAGGGAGAGATGCTTCCCGCAAGAGCCGGGTTCCCGTAGTTCGGATGCCCATTCCAGCTCAAGGCCGGTCAGAGTGAGTTCTGGTTGTTCTGTTGGGTCGGATGGTTATGATTTGGGCATGGAGGCTTCTTCCAATGGTAGTGAACCAATTCAACCAAGAGACCACTGGTATTTACTATTTACTCCCTACTTTCTAACTCTTCAATTTTACCCTCGTTAAACCTCATTTTACTCCGTATTATGTACCTGGAGTAATGAAATTGTAAAAAAAAAAAAAAGAGGAGTATTTTTTAATTTAGTACGGTAAAATTTATTTTTTTTTTTAAAAAAAGTGTTAAGTTATAAAGAATTTTGGCTAATTGTGGACACTTTTTTTACCCAAATGAGTTTTGCTAAATATTTTCCGCTTTTTTACTTGAAATGGGGGAAATCCAACATTTCCTTCAAATCTATCAAANTTCATGGGTAAATAGAAAATTGCACTTTTTTCTGGCCAGACTATATTTTGATCCATGTGTCACATGTTGGTTTATATGTGTATATATAAGTCTAAAAAATGTGATGTTTTGACAAATAGAAACCATTCCTTGTAGCTTAGCAAGAAGGGAGGCGAATGAGGCGACACATTCAGTGACGGGAGATTCGATAGTAAATCTTCCTTCGAGAGGGGAAATGGATGAATTTTTCGTTCGCTCCGAGCAGCAACAGCAGGCTCTTTTCATTGACAAGTACGGAGTACATTCTTGCCTTTTATTCAGATTGCATATAGGGATGTGCTTCCAGATAAAGGCACGCTTTTTTATCTTCTCTTTTTTTTATCTACAGGTACAATTACGACATCGTGAATGATTTACCTCTACCGGGACGTTATGATTGGGTGAAAGTGAGCCAGTAATTACCTGGACGCCGTGAAGTTTACGGCTCTTCAGCCATTCCCATTGTCTTCTTCAACTAGTGTAATCACAGTAACCTCTAGATGTGTGTAGTTTAGTAACCATTAGGTGTGTTGTTGTTGTTGTCATTTATGTGTAGTTTAACCTCTAGGTGAGTCATTATTGCTAAATAAACTTCTTGTTTGACCGTGTTTATAAGCTTGGGATTCAAAAAAATTAATCACGCGAGTGTTTGCGAGAAACGGACAGTGTCAATCTTGGTTTCATTCGTAGTGTGAATGTCGCATAACTCATACTCTCTCCATTCCATACTAACTGACCGTTATAACTTTTTGGATACATTGAAAATTGAATGAATGTAGACATACATCATGTCTACATTCATTCATTTCTCAATGTATCAAGAAAATCATAACGGACAATTGATATGAAATTGAGAGGGTATGATATACAAACAATAGAGTACAAAGTACAAACAATCAAATCAATTCAGCAATCTAAAATTGACAAGCATTGCTCCGTACCAGTTAAGTGACATTTATTACCTATCTTCAATTCACTCATTGGATGCTGCCTGAGTTGCCACATTTGTCCAGACCTCAGTTTTAAGAAGAAAAAAAAATAGGGTCCTCACTTACTTGCATTTCCCTTCAGATACCCTTACACAATTCAGGGGCGCAGAGAATCATTTACTGCATTTCTTCATCCTTTACCCTTTGAGAAAGAAACTGTAAAATTTTGCAGATCACTCTGTTGTAAGTATTCAATGATTCCAATAAAGGCAGCTTATTTACTGTAATTTATGCTAAACACTGAACACCCTATCACTATGTTGTAAATGAGATGGAGAAGTACATTTTTTTTGTTTAGAGAGGAAAAGAAAAGAAAATTGGAAAGAAAAAGAAAATACAAAGGCAAAATATATTAAGAGAAAGGAAAACCCAATTCTCCCCATTTTCGGTGAGGAAAATGTGAGAAAATCGTTTTCTTTTCCTTTCCTTCCAAATTCCTTGAACCAAATATAATGTGAGTCTATTGTAATTTAACTAGTCAACACATGGATCTTAAACAAACAAAAAAAAACTAAAATCAAACCAAGTAACGCCAAAAAGAATAGTACCTACTTGTCAACTTCGTAAATTGTCACGACACATGTGGTAAGGTTTGTGTACATATATCCTCCCCAGACCCTACTTTTTGTGGGATTTTACTGGGTATGTTGTTCTTGTCATGGCACGTGTGGTCCTCGATTGCGATGTCATGTATCCGTTGCTTTGTTTCTAACATTTCAACTTCACCCATTCTAACATCCCTAATGCATTCATTATCAATGCTCATCTCCTTTAATCTTGCCAGCCGCACGGCTTGCAGTTCGTATCTAATCATCAACATCCAAGAATCAATGGTTATATAATGCGGCGAACGAACCCAAAGCAAAAGGATATAAACTCATATAACTTACTCTGCCACATAACTCTTGACTAATATAAAATATATTCTCCAAAACTGTTGCTCCTTCAAATAACGAGGGCATAACTTGAATCTCAGCTGTGCAAGTTCCTGAAGATGGTCACATTTAATAACTGAAATCAATTCAGACAATGACCCTAGCCAGGAGACCATAACTTCTAGCAATAAAGGCTAATTAAATGGAGAAATGTGTGTACATCTAACAGAAACTGCTATTTTACTAAAGAGTTCTTGATTAGCAAAAAAAACATTTGATAAATCACCAAAGCAAATATTACACACTTCCTCATCTCCCGAAAAAAATCTTTCCTTTTTCATCCGTCCCAAAGAAAATTTTCACTTTTTAACATTTTTACTCTGTGAAAGTCAAAGAAAGAAGTTCGCTGGACAACGGAAATATAGACTGATAAGTTCTAAGTATTTGAGGTACTACAATTTCAATTACAAAGGGGCAGATAATTAAACCTTTTTCAAGATATAAATCTACAAAAGAGTGCCAGCAAGTCAATTATGAAATGTGGATCAATTAAATAGAAGCTTCTCAATGATAGTAACAAATCAATAAAAATAGCAAATAGTGACAGGTGATAGCCTGATACAGTTGGCTTTTAGAAACAAATATGACAAAAATTTTAGAAGCCAAAATATTGTAATAAAGGAATCTTAAGCTCCAATAGGAATCGACCACAATTTTAAGACTAAACTCCACTATTGGTCCTTCAATTTTATGAGTTATACAAGATTGGTCCTTCACGTTTCAAAAATCCATAAACAGTCTTTCAATTTGATGAGCTATGTCCGATTGGTCCTTTTGACGGTAAAAGCTAAGAAGAACTGATGTGTACTTGAATTTTAGCCTAATTTTAAATTTGAAGAACCAATAGTGGATTTTAGCTTAATTTTAATAAGCCGACATAACAAGAAATCCATGTGTTGAAATTCCAAAATGAAGTAGAAAAACAACCTTGATTTCTGACAAAACAAGCAACGCATGATGTTGTTGCCAGTCAGACAGATCCCGCCGGACGTTGCCGGGAGTTCCTTCATCACCACCACAGTCGGCTCCATCTTCAACTGCAAGAACCTGCTTAATCTGAGATTTCGAGCAAAGGGACACAGAAGAATGAAGATATGTGCATATATCTATACAATTTAAAGCAAATTTACCGGGGAGAGGGTGATTTCTGAAGGTTTCAACGGAGAAAGATTTGATTAGTTCGATTAGTGAGTCGGTGACGCCGTAAATCCGACGCTCTTCTCCGGCGCCTTTGACGAACCCTTCGTTTTTCTCTCCCGCCGGCGGAGATGTCAGTTTGATTCTGGATAGCCGGCGTCGAACCCATGAATACATAGCGTTTCCCTCTGATTCAAACTCGCGAGTTGCGGGTACTCCCAGCTCGGTTCCGAGTCACGACTCATCCTCTTTGTTGTAGTTCGTCCAGTTAGATGCATTTTTAGGCCCAAAGCCCATTTTGGGAAGATTGGGCTACCCTTCATGAATGGACTGTTATGTTTTGGGCTTTGAAGTTTCTAACTTTCTTGTTTTTTACAGAACATCAAATTCATAGATATAAGAGTATGTGAAACACAAGATCAAAACTAATTCAAGATGTTTTGTGGTCAATAGGTGAAGATTGACAAGATTATTCCTAGTCACACGCATTAATGATATTTGTGACCTTTTTTTCCTCAAATTAATACTCTCTTTGTCCAATTTTTATTATTCAATTTTACTTTTAGGACGTCCAAAAACATTTTTACTTATTTTATTTCTCACAATTTCTTTCTTGCATCTCAATAAATTATAAATATGCATTTTTTTTAATTTTAAATATTTTTCTTAAATTTCATACTCTGTATGAATATTTTTGGTAGGGAAGAGAGTACAAAAGGTCAAGGAAGTGCAAAAGCAACATGATTGAACATTTACATTGAGTGGACAACAGAGTGATACAAGCAAGGAAAAGAAACTCCAATTTCTGGTTTTTGCACAATTTTTTCTAATCATATTTATCACTCCATAGTCCCATTGTTTTTCTTGACTTTCTTTTTCCAGAGACTTAAACATAGCTGTAGCTATTGTCTCTCATTTGCCCCATTATATAGCTCTCCACAATAATGATAATAATTACTTTAGCACAAGCAGATAATTATTGACCCAACCCACGGGCTGCTTCACCAACAAAAAACACAATTATAACAGCTCTCATACTTCTCCTTTTGTACTTGGTCCGCTCCTGAGTGTTTGTCCACTTTTGATTTTTAGAACTGTTCATCTAAGCACTTTGACTCATCAAATTCTCTCAATGTGTAAGCCTAAAAATAGTCATGTGTGATCTTGTTTGATTCGTCTTAACATATAGATTATTAATATATAATTTTTATAATTTTTTAATATACAAATTACAAGATAAAATTTATTAAAGAAGTGCATTGGATGGTGTGCAAAAATGAAAGTGGACAAACACTCAGGGACGGAGGGAGTAAGATTCTTTATCTTTTTTCTCTATGAATTTTGACTACTCATTTATTATTAGTAAAATAACATTTATTTCGTGCAGAAAAAAACTTCTTGTTTCTTTTTTTTGGACGTTAGAAAAAATGTTCTTTCTTTTTTAGAAAACTTTCACTAGCTCAAAACTTTTGAACCTAATCTCCATAGACACTTTTAAACATACATTTTCACTTTTTTCAAACTTTGTGACAAATCAAACCAAAGGCTTTTTATTTGGGACGAAAGGAGTTTACTCTTAGCTTCAACAATTTTTGTTTTGTAAATTCTCTTTATATACTCGGTAGTTTTTCAAAAATATGAATTTTATTTGTCTAACTTTACATCTATTTTTTTTCAAATAAGTTGAGTTAAAATGACAAATAAAAAAATAGGTAAATTAATGATAATTACGGAGTAATTAATTTTGGATGACCCACAAATCCCCACAGCAATTTAAGAAAAAAGTCTAACCTATGATTTGAGAGCATACTTTTTGTCAAAAAAAATGAAAAAAATAGGACAAATGGGCAAAGAAGTCTCCCAACAACAGCAACACTTCTTTTCTTCTTTAACAACCCTCCCAAGACCACCTTAGCTTCACCCTCTTGTTTCTCAAGAGTTCATTCATCTCTCCGCCATGGCCCTGCAAGAAAAAAAGAACTCCCTGCATTTATGCAACGAATGGTAATTTTTCCCCATAATCTTGTTTGGTTTTTGAAAGAAAAAAAAAACTAGTCTTTTTTACTCTTTTGGGTTATAAAATCTGCTTCTACACTCCGTTCTTGGTTGAAAAAGTTGCAGCTTTATTATGGTAAAAAGTCATCTTTACATTGGTTAAATATTGTTTTATCTGCTCTTGCACCTGCAGATTGTAAACGGGAATGGTAAATTTTCCACTCCCTCTTTCCAAACCTTGTTTGGTTTCTGAAAAAGCTAGTCTTTCACTCTTTTGGGTTAAAAAATCTGCTTCTACACTCTCTTCTTGGCTGAAAAAATTGCAGCTTTATTGTAAAAAAAAGCCATCTTTACATTGGTTAAAGATTACACTAATTGAATCCTCATCTCCTTTTAGGGTATTTCGGGATGTTCCTAGTGACATTACAGTAGAAGTTGATGGTGCCATCTTCTCACTACACAAGGTAAAGGTTAAAAATCCAGTCTTTAATACGAGACAGAAAAACTAATGTTCTTATAAATTAGTCTTTTTATGTTAGATTTGATACACTTTATGCCTTCAAAAATGTCTCTTTTTAGTAACTAGAAAGATATTGTTTCCAGTTTCCATTGGTGTCGAAGAGCGGGACGATACGAAAACTGGTAACAGACCAGAGGGATTCATCAGACACATCGAGAATTGAGCTGGTGAACTTACCTGGCGGAGCTGAGTACTTTGAACTGGCGGCAAAGTTCTGCTACGGCGTCAACTTCGAGATAACCCCGTCAAACGTGGCCCACCTCTGCTGCGTCTCGGAGTACCTACAGATGACGGACGCGTACTCGAGCGGCAGCCTGTCGTCCCGAGCCCACGAGTACCTCGAGTGCGCCGTTTACCGGAGCCTCGAGATGTGCGTGGAGGTTCTCCGGCAGTGCGAGAGCCTCCTCCCGCTAGCGGACGACCTCGGGGTGGTCCCGCGCTGCGTCGACGCCATAGCCTCGAAGGCGTGCGCCGAGCAGATCGCCTCGAGTTTCTCGAGGCTCGAGTACAGCGGGTCGGGTCGGCTCAACATGACCCGACCCGCCAGCTCCGAGGGGGACTGGTGGATCGAGGACCTCTCGGCACTCCGTGTCGATTTCTACCAAAGAGTGGTATCGGCCATGAAGTGCCGTGGGGTCCGGCCCGAGAGCATCGCGGCGTCTTTGATGAGCTACGCGCATAGAGAGCTCGACAAGAAGAGCCCGAGCGAGCACGAGAGGCTCGTCGTGGAGGCGATCGTCGAGCTAATGCCGGACGAGAAATGTGCGGTCCCCATCGGGTTTCTCTTCGGGCTGCTGAGGAGCGGGGTGGTGCTCGATTGCGCCGCGGCATGCCGGTTTGACCTTGAGAGAAGGATTGGGTCTGTCCTGGACATGGCCAGCCTGGATGATCTGTTGATCCCTTCCTTTCGCCACGCTGGCGACACGCTGTTCGAGGTCGACACTGTTCATAGGATTTTGGTCAGTTTCTCCCACCAGCGGCGCGACGGCGACCAGAGCGATGATGAGGACGAAGAAGATTTGGACGGCAGGTCGTCGTCGGCCGTCTTTGATGAGTCTGACACTCCCCTCTCTTTGCCCTCCCAGACCTCACTCTCCAAAGTCTCCAAACTTGTGGACAGTTACCTTGCAGAGATTGCACCAGATGCCAACTTGAAGCTCAGCAAGTTCATAGCCATAGCAGAAACTTTACCGACACATGCTCGGACCCTCCACGATGGTCTCTATCGAGCCATCGATGTTTATCTCAAGGTAAGAAGAAAACCCTTTCTAGAGCTTAAAAAACCACAAGTTTTAGCTTTTGGTTAAGTTGATTTCTTGACATATACCTTACAAATGTGAGTTCACACTCCATGCAGGCTCACCAAGGGCTATCAGATCAAGACAAGAGGAGACTGTGCCAGATGTTAGATTTCCAAAAGCTGTCGCCTGAAGCCGGGGCCCACGCCGCGCAAAACGAGCGCCTCCCGCTCCAATCCATCGTCCAAGTGCTTTACTTCGAGCAGTTGAGGCTGCGGAACTCCGTGTTTAGCCCGTACCCGGATGACGATCCAAAGCAGCCGCACCAGTCATGGAACATCAATGGGGGAGCTCTCAGTGCTGCAATGCTGTCACCCAAGGACAACTATGCTTCCCTCAGGAGGGAAAACAGGGAGTTGAAGCTTGAGCTGGCGAGGATGAGGATGAGACTGAATGATCTGGAGAAGGAGCATGTTTTCATGAAGAGGAATATGGGGAAGTCGAACTCCGGGCAATTCGTGAGTTCGCTTTCCAAAAAGATTGGTAGAATCAACCTTTTTGGACTCAGTTCTTCGCGGGGATCGACTTCTCCTTTGAAGCTGTCGCAGAGAACTGATTCCAAGCAAAGGGTGTGAGTGGTGAAATCCATGTATAAACATTAGCGATTGTATGTAAATTGTGTAGAATTGTGAGTTTGGCAGGAGTGCGTTTGGATGAAATGAATGTGCCAAATAGAAAAACAATGTGCTTGGTAACATTCATTTCAGCCAAATATGAAAGTCAAATGGAACATAAAACTGTTCCAGCTTGCTCTCCCATTTACCTTGTTATAGTTCATGTGCTGTATATTGGTTGGCAGATATTTGCATTTAGCAATTGCAATGTCCCTTTTGATGTATTTATAGATTATAGATGTTTTGCAATTCAGTAAATGTGGTGTTCTTTAAGAAAAACAAAGGTCATGTTTTTAAAGCTCACTGGAACACTAGAAGCAATCTCGATGGCTTTTTGTACGATTATTTGCAACCCGTTTTCCCACATGAACCCCCCTAAAAAGGGGGATCCTATGACCGACCGGACGATCCGCCTTTAGTAGACAGAACGTGGCTTTATGAGGATATTTTTTTGATCAGCTATCTAGACACACAAGCAAAAATTGTGCATGTAGATTAAAGAAAGATTGTGACCGAAGTAAAACATTGCAAAACCGAGTCTGATCAAGCATGATTCAAGAACAATAAGTAACAACTGGAAACAAGCAAATTGTCTGGTACACTGGTGTTGAAAACAAACAAAACAAAATAACTTGAATATAGATCTGCTGTTGATACCGCTTTCTGCTGAGAAACCAAAGGCTTCTTAATGTTGTATTTAGGACTTAGCATCCAACTAGCCCAAACTTCAGTACTTCACTGCGGAGAGACTGTCAAGTTGGGAACCGAGCTTCTCCTCTGCAGCCTTCTCAGCTTTGATCCTAAGCTTTGTCAATTGCTTCTTCCTCTCGTATGCTGCTTGTGACCTCTCTTTTCTCTTCTCCTCTAAAGTCTGTTTCGAAAAAGAAACCAATGACATGTTAGCCAAAATATGTAAGGACCGATTATTAATACCATGTTCCTGATTAACTGCATATAATCTAGGTTCCAAAACATAAAATATGTCTCTATTGAGGCTAGTTAATCAAGATTTTTCACAAGAACACGACTTTTAATTCAACAGATTGAGCAGATGCTGAGGCCTTAGAGTTTCATAGAATAAAATGATATAAAGGAGAGTAAAAATTGTTCACACTCTATCACCCCACTAAAAGCTAATTGGTTTTGCAAGTGTTGTTGGCCTTTAATGACTCAATATGCTGATTTTTTTAATGATAAAAGCATTTACACTATGTTTGGTTCAAGGAATTTAGAATAAAACAAAAAGAAAAGTTTTTTTCTCAATTTCCTCACAAAAATGGGAGGAATTTTGTTTTTTCTCCTCTTAGTTCATTTTTCCCTTTCGTTTTATTTTCCTTCAACTTCCCTTTTCTCTTCCTCTCCAACCAAACAAGACAAATTGTTTTCCATCTCATTTTCTTCTTTTCCCTTTCAATCCTTGAACCAAACATAATGTTAGTAAATAGATTTCAGCACATGGTATGCTATCTTTCTACATTAACGCAATGCAAGCATAATAATCCAATCAATGCCACCACATCCCTTAATATTGCCTAGGTCACTGATCACGCTACACTTATCACATAACATATTTAAAGAGCCCACCTTGAGGGTTGACATTTTTACTACAATGGCATAACCCTTTCATATCCATGTATCACTATATGTTTATAACATAAATCATTTCATAGTGGATTACTAAAGGAACAATACAAAGATGCAGAAATATAAATTTTTAAATTTAAAAAAAAAATCTACCTTGATGGTGTCATAGTGGTTCCAGCCAACCTCAGATGACAGCTTGCCCAGCAAGCAGTACTTGTGCCCGGCCTGAAGCCTCAAAACCCTGATTTGAATAGAGTTCAAAACATTTAGTCCGTACTAAACCAATCAAATACTTGTTTTTTTCAATGTATCACCGAAAGAGAATGGAGTAAGGTAAACTCACTTAAGGGCATCTGGTATAACCATCCGCTTCACCTTATCATAAGGTGGAGGGACACCCTCGTAAGCCTTCAATCGTCCCAGTGCTGCTGCTCCTCTCTTAGTCTTGTGCGGAATCATTCTATACATCGAAAATTCTCAAATCATGGAAACCAAATTTTCTAAAATGCAGACAGATAACTTTAATTTGCAGATCGAAAACTAAAATCCAATGCAGAAATGTATACATTTCAGATTCTTACCCTCTGATTGTGCGCCACAGGATCTTAGACGGTGCACGGTGATGGATTGGGCCGTGGGATGGCTTGGTGTTCATGCGCTTGCGGAGGAAACGGTGGTACTTCATCTTCTGACGGACAAGTCCGCCGGAGAGGCATATCTCTTCGCAGCGGACCACCACCACATGTTGGCCATTGAGGAGCTCTTTCGCCAAAATGGATGCCAGACGGCCGAGCATGTGGTGGCGAGCATCCACCACCACTCTCCGGGCGCATATTCCCGATCCAGACACCATTCTGCTGCCGCCTTCTTTTCTCGATCTCTCACGATTGCCGGCAATGAGCTCTATCAGATTGCGCTATGAAACCTAGGGTTTATGTAATTGGACTAATTATTAGTCGGGTCGATTTTGGTCCGGGAGGTGAAACTGCTGGGTTTGATAGAGATATGGGCCGAGTATTTTCAAAGCCCTACGATGGGCTTACTCCCCTCGCCCCGTTTAAATGCTTTAAGTTTTTTTTACGTCCAATAAGCGTTTAATTGCAAAATGTCTAAATGAATTAAATTGATAATTATAATAGTTTTATTTTATAAAACATTTTCTAAATATTATTATATCTAATAAGCATGCCATATATTTTAATTAATTATATGTTAGAGTTTTAGAATGATTGACTGAAAGAATTAAAACTAGATAAATACTCATGAAGAGATGTAGTACTTGGCCGCATTGCACGTGATTACAACACCTCATAGCGAGCGAATGATGGTCTATTCTTTGTAATAGTTTTTTGTGTGTACCGGGCATGAGACAACTTCTCTAAAAGTTATAATAGGATTATACCCTGATTTACTTTATTCGCTATATGTCGGGTTGGGATGAGGGAGCGTCCGAGATGGTCGTTCCATCTTTTTGTAGCGAATGACATATGATTAGTGACAAGTTTTATGGCTCATAAAATAGATGCAACGGGTTGAAGAACATTAAATTGGGTGAAGAGTACGGGATGGACGGAAGGTGGTGACAGTTGCATTTGAGAGTACCTGTGATGATTGTCCCTATCTCAGCTCGCTTGCTAATGTTCGTATTTTTTATTGATATTGGAAAAGATCTTAGATTTAGGTGTTTAGCTTAGTTATTATTTTGTAAATGAGACATCACATTTGTGAGGGCAAGTTACTAATTCATGTAAAAGTGTTGGTAGTGTGACTTTTCCTTCTTATCTATTATTCAAAATATATATGTGAGGGTTAAAAAAGAATTAGTGTACACCAATATTCACTCTTGGTACTATTGAAATCCTCTTTAGATTTTGTTGAAGACATAAAAGAAATAGAAACTTAAGTGATGATCGCTTGTCGGGAGCAAATTTCAAACGCCATCTTTCATGTTCAACTATGTCAAAATGAAACATCGCCCTACATTTGGACTGGACCAGTAAAAATTGACAGTGATCGAAACTTTTTAGATGTATTTTTCGGTTTTATACTCTACCACATTTCAATTTTTTTTTTTCAATTTTAGATCATTTTAGTTGGATTTTCAACCATGTTCATCGCCGCTTCAATTGCATCAATCGGTGCTAATTCGATAAAATAATTTTTATATCGAATTATCAAAATTATTCTGAATTGATAATTAGTGATAACGAAACACCAAACATATCAAATGAAACAAAAGGTGCACTACTATTAACCTATTAAGGTATCCATTAAATACTCTGCATTGCTTCCCAACTGAATCCTATATTAATATGCTCTGAAATTTTAAACAACGTAATATACAGAATGTATTACTTACAAATTAACTCTAAAGAGATGGATTACCCAATCAAAATATAATATTTGATTAAATTTTGATACGTACTAAATTTTTGCAATATATACCGTACAACTGTTGTACAAAACTTCTTCGTACATTTGTGGGAAGTACTCATTTTCGAACAATTAAATATTTATTATCCAACAATTAACTATTCATTTTTAATTAACTTAATACTCATCTTCAAGTAACTGTATACGTTTTTTTAAAGCTCAATTATACTCGTTTTTTCAGATGAGTATATATAATTACTCAAAAATATGGTTCTATTATTTGTAAATGAATAATCAATTATATTCAAATATGAGGATTCAAAATTTAAACGGATGTCTTGTATAAAATCACCCATTTTGTTTTCATTTGGTGGATGTACCAAAATTTACAAATTCATACTTTCCATCCAAATTAAATTTCATAAATTTGGAAGGGCATTCACCCGCTCACCAACCCTGCGTCTGCCCTTCACCCATCAAACCCACCAACTCTTTGAAATCCTCTCCTTCTTATTTATTCCTTCCCCAACACAGTCTTTGTGATTAACGACGCCTAATTTCCCTGCAATCTCACTCTTCTACCCATTCAGATCTACTTGTCGATTTTGCATTTAAGCAATCGCTGTTCTTTTCCTCTCTCGTCGTCTTCATATTCAAGTCCAACTAAATGGGTGACACCAAAAAGGTCTATACTCTGTCCGAGGTCTCCCAGCACAACCATTCCAAGGACTGTTGGCTCATCATCGAAGGCAAGGTTGGTCTCCATATGAACAGAGATTGAATTTGCTCTGTTATTGCTTAGATCTGTCAAAGACTCGATCTTTTTCTTGTTTTGAACTGACCCGAATTTTGTTTCTGTAATTTTGTTGGCTTATGTATGGTTTTCCGAGTGAGCTTGGTAGTTAAGAGCCTGTTTGGTAATTGTTGTCTGCCTGGGAATTCTGGCAGCAAATATGCTAGAAAAACAATTTCTGAGAAAAACAAGAAAGTCAAATGATAGGATTATGCTGGATAAGGCTACCAAACGGAGCCTTAATCAGTTTTCTTGAATCTTGTTAAACTCTTTGATTAATGTTCTGTTTTGCGTGCACGTTGTGTTCCTTTCGTGATTCATCCTGTTATCTGGTGTTTTTTTTTTAATTATGATGCAGTTCTTTAATTTGGATCTGTCATCTTGGCTGTGAAAGAAAACTTTATTTTTTTTTTGTGTTTCTGCTATATGATTATTATATCTTCAACCATTTGCACCATTTTTTTGTACAACAAGATAGCGTAAAAATCTTAGTTGTACACTCCTTTAGTGCACCAAAAGTGACACCATTTAATCAAAATGGTGGGATATGATTTGTGCATCACGAGATTCATGTGCCACTTTCATATCAATTGGGAAGTTTTACTCTCTTTTGATATACTCCTCAAATATGAAGAGTGAAATCTTTTTTTATGCATTGAAATTGTACGAAGGCTTAGTTGTTGGTGTTCTTTAAACTGCACAAATTCTATGTTTGGCAACAGAATTAGAGGAAAAGGAAATGAACAAGAAGGTAGTAGAGTGGAAATAAATTTTCGATTAGTTTGTTTGGTATGAAGTGGAGTGAAATTTCAACTTCCCTCCTATTTTACTCCAAATGTGGGGGGAAGTTTTTTTCTACTCAAGTTTTGTTTATCTCCTAATTCCTTCATATATTCTTTCATATTTCTCTCCAAGCAAAAAATGGATATTCATCAATTTCTTTCCAGCTTATTCCTCCTCACTTCCCACCCACTCTCTTTCAACCAAACATACTAGAAGTGTCCGAGTGAAAAGGATGAAAAGTACACGTTTGAGATGACCTGTGTATTTGAGATTCCTTTAAGCACACAATCTGTTAATGATAAGTAATTCGAATTGTTGAAATAAAGCAATTTGGTGCACAATCATTTTTAGTGTCTTGGCGTTATGCTTTCTTCGTCGGCTTCTCAATGATCAGCTCGTCTGTTTAATGAATGCTTATATTGCAATTCATCTTAGCCCACACGGGCACCACCTTTTTCCTTCTTTGCAGGTATATGATGTTACAAAATTTTTGGAAGATCATCCAGGTGGTGATGAGGTTCTGTTGTCAGCCACTGGTATGATTATTTCCCTTCTCTCAAGACAATGTGATTTATAGGTTCACCATTAAAATCGTCTTTTTTGGTAAATGACTTGCGAGTTGACCGATATGAAATAAGCTAGTATATATATTACGGAGTAGTTTTCAACTTTTCATTTCCCCAGAATCAACTTTGTTAGAGCACTGATCGTCCACACGTATCAGTTAACAACAGGATTATTTTTTTTCCAATTCTGTATGCCAAAAACAGAGATTATTTGGATTAGAAATCCATGTTCCAACGGAAATGTTCAAGAAACTCTTAACAAGAATCAAGGAAATATTAATACAACAAAAATGCGGTTTTTTTTGTAGGGAAGGACGCGACTGATGACTTTGAGGATATCGGCCACAGCAGCAGTGCTAGGGGAATGATGGAGGAGTTATGTGTTGGTGAAATTGATAAGTCAACCATTCCATCCAAGACAAGCTACAAACCCCCAAATCAGCCTCACTACAACCAGGACAAGACCAACGAGTTCGTCTTCAAGCTCTTGCAGTTCTTAGTTCCTTTGGTTATTCTTGGTGTTGCTGTTGGCATTCGTTTCTACACCAAGCAACCATCGTCTTAAAACGAATCTTATTCTTCTTCTTCTCCTACAAATCTGAATAATTTGAATAATAAACGTGTTTAATGCAGTCATTTGTTCCTCCTCCCAATCCCAGCCCGGAAAAATACTTTTTTTTTTCACATTAATCTGCTCTACTCTAGAGATACTATGAAAAGAGTGTTTTGATTTGTGGTAATGTCTTAATCAAATGCCCTTAGACAGTTCAAATTTTTGTTTTTACTTGTACTGCATTTCCAATTTTCTTAGTTTCATGCAGTGTTTATTGATATTCCATTGTGATTTGTGGCATTTGCCATTTCTTTTATCTTTAATAAAAAAACACATCTGGGTGTCAATAACACTTGAGTGAAAATATTTGAGTTTTTTTTTGTTTTCTTCCATTTCCGATGCTGGAACTGGAAAGGCGGGATCCCTTCATGTTTTTTCCCATTGCTTGTTTTCAGATGCTTCCTTCTTCAGCTCTTCTTTTACTCTTCTACACCAACTTCTTCTTCTTTCTTTGGTTTTATTTTTAATTTAGTTATGTGTTTTTAATTTTTTTACCGACTTTTAAATTTAACATTGATGAAATATTTAATTTAAATTTTTAGTTTAATTGTTTCAATTGAAATAATATTAATACTTGGAAGGGAAAATAGAGGTGAAAGGGATGTGCACTCCCCATAACCTTAAAAGAGTCCTTCGTATTCACTATTCTTATGAATGTTCTTTATTATTCAAAAGTGTTCTCGAAAATAAAGTTTTTGTGGGCTTTTTGGTGCGAATGGTTGATCAATCTTCAATGTTCAAACTTTCAAACTTTGATACGCTATTTCAATTTGAATAATAATGTCGCTACTTGCATATAATTCTATGAACATAATTATGAAAAACTATGATGAAATTGACTCAGAGAGGATAACCGTCAATGATTTTTTACACATAGTGAATAAAACTAGCGGTGACAAAACTATATTATTTCATCAAATGACTAATGGAAATAGGAAATAAAGTGAATAAATTTTGATCATGTGAATAGTAAAATGCAACTTAATTTGAGACGGAATGAGTATTAAAAAGTCATGGTAATGTGAATCTTTTCACGAGCCTAACACAGTAAAGCTTCATTAAAATAAAAAGTTTTTTTAATATTTAGTCTTCTATTACCAAATGTTATGTTTGTACTCTTTTGTTTATGTCTACCTTTATACAAGTAATCATTCTTTTATCCTTCGCCGTATTAGTGTTAAGAGTGTAATTTCACATACGCCTTACATCGTTTTTGTGATAGCCAATGTCATAAGTTGTCGCTACTTCAACCCGTGTCTAAAGTTGTCGTTGCTCAAAATCTGAATCTCGGTCATAGTCATTTTGGACTTTTGGTAGTGTTGTCCGTCAAACTAACACCAATATACATGGATAGACCTAGAATTGTTGTGAAAACACATTTTTAGCCCCCTATATAACACAAAATGACTGAAGGTAAAAAAAGACTATCATTTACGCATAAACGAAGGGCCACGAATGTAATGTTTTGTGATAGAGGACAAAACATGGAAACCATCAATTTTAAATGATCATTTTTTGAATTTATTTTCTGAAACAAAAATTCAACCACCTTCCTAAAACCACCCTCCCACAAAGAAAATATTAGTCATCGAGTAATGATGAATGACTTGAAATGCATACAAACCATTGCACCTTTTTTTATTAAACTGATTCTGCTAACATGACTTTCACGTAATAAAAAAGGCCTCATGAGCTGATATTAGGAGCCCGTTTGGGAGGAACATTTTCGATTGGTGTTGACGTTTTTGATAAAATTCTAACGGTGCAGATTAACTTTGAAAGCGCTAACGCTAAACGTTATCTGTAAATAACCTTTTCAAAATGCTAACGCTAATCTCTAAATCCTTTTCAAATGCCGTAATATCACCTCTAATTTGCAAAGGCTCATTTTTCAAAGTCGAAGCATACCAATAAGCCCACTAACCCAATAGTTTTAGCTTGGCCCATTAGCCAAATTCCAGGGTTAGATAAACCCTAGCAGCACTCATCTACATCAAGCTCCGGTACGCTGCTGTAAAGTTCAACAGCTCATTGTGAGGCGAAGCGCAGGGAGGAAGGAGAGAAGGACGGCAGCAAAATGGTGTCGGAATCCGGAATATGCGCGCGAAGAGTGGTGGTCGACGCGAGGCACCACATGCTCGGCCGGCTGGCATCCATCTTGGCGAAGGAGCTCCTCAATGGCCAGCATGTGGTGGTGGTCCGCTGCGAGGAAATCTGCCAATCCGGCGGCCTTGTCCGTCAGAAGATGAAGTACCACCGGTTCCTCCGCAAGCGCATGAACACCAAGCCTTCACACGGCCCAATCCATCACCGTGCACCGTCTAAGATCCTGTGGCGCACAATCAGAGGGTAAGAATCTGAATTGTATACATTTCTGCATTAGATTTTAGTTTTCGATCTGCAAGTTAAGGTTATCTATTTTAGAAATTGAATTTGTATTATATGAGAATTTTCTATGTATAGAATGATTCCACACAAGACTAAGAGAGGAGCCGCAGCACTGGGACGATTGAAGGCGTACGAGGGTGTCCCTCCGCCTTATGATAAGGTGAAGCGGATGGTTATACCAGATGCCCTCAAGTGAGTTTGCGAGTCCACATTCCCATTCTTGAATGCTTGGTTAAGCTTTATGTCATTGATTGGTTTAACTTACATGAAATAATACTTGTGCCACACAGGGTTTTGAGGCTTCAGGCCGGGCACAAGTACTGCTTGCTGGGTAAGCTCTCATCCGAGGTCGGCTGGAACCACTATGACACCATCAAGGTAGTGTTTCATTTGCTTTTAATAATTAATCCGTATTAATTTATTATGGGTTGTTATTGAGATGACAATATTGTTATTGAGTTGCATATTTTATTCCCTCTTAGGCTCACTATCATCTTTTATTAAGAAGCTTTATGGGAAAATGTTGCATTTTACAAATGGTGTGGGAAAATTGGTCCCACCGTTATCAATTGGAACCAAAGATTAGAGACTTCATTCATAATTTCATATAAATGATTGGATTTGGTACATAGTCATGCCACTATATGTTGGGTTTTAAATGGATGATCTTCCATCTATCATCTTCTTCACAGCTGTGGCTACTGGCTTGTATGACTGTATACCTAATCCAATCTCAATCTCCCATTTGCTTTTGGAGGCATGATTCGAAGTATGACTTAGTTAATTTTTATACTATGTTACCATTTCAATTTCAAAGCATAACTTCTTAAGTTGTAGAAGTAAATTAGTAATTATTCTTAACTGAAACTTTCAAAATGAGAAGTCAATTTTTATCCAAATGAAATATTAACATTAAAAATTCAAGATTGTATAAACATGGGAGTGACCGCATAAAATATTATTCTTAAGTTAAACTTATGTTGATAGTAGTCTGATATGTATTTGCATCATTTATGTATATGGTGTTGGCCCATTGTAGATACTGTATTTGTGTATATGGTGTTAGAATGTGTATAGAGGTGACATAATATATTTTAGCCACATATTCCCCTCCCTCAAATGAAATGAGAAAACTAGCCAAGTTAATTTTGGGGCACTCCAAAAAAAAGTAAGCAAGCAGAGGCTTGCTGGATCGGTGGAGTATAAATATAAGCTTAGATTAGTTGACATGTTTGTAGGTAATCCCCTCACTTGCCATCCCCTCCTGCGCCCCATTTCCTACAATGTTTACCTGCATGTATTTGTATATAATACTTGATGGTCTGGCTCCCACAATTTACTGCCACTCCTATAATTTTGATGGCCGTATTTACTGAACAATGTCACTGATACCTTCCATTTAAATCTAAATTCCCATATTTTAAGAGAGTATGATGCCTTGTCGGGTTTGTTTGTTTAGGATTTTTTTTTTTTGTATTTATGAGCAAAATTTAAAACTTTCAACTAACATCTTGCAATATGAATGATCACATAATATAACCTCATTTTTCCTGTTTTTTATCCACTGGAGTGTCTTCGTCTTGGTTACATTTCTTCCTCAAATATCAGACTTCCTGTAATCTGTGATGTATTCAAAATTACTTTCTCTATTTACAACAGGAGCTGGAGAACAAGAGAAAGGAGAGGTCACAAGCGGCATATGAGAGAAAGAAGCAACTGGCAAAACTTAGGATCAAAGCCGAAAAGGCCGCCGAGGAGAAGCTTGGCCCCCAACTTGACATCCTCTCAGCAGTTAAGTACTAAATCTGCTTTTGTGATGCTATATCTTGTAAGGATAGTTTTGAGGAGCCTGAATTTTTTTTCGCAGTTAACTCGCCTGGTTCAGTATTTTCAGTTCTTGTGATTGTTGAACATTTTTTGTTATATCACATTTTTGTCCTCTTCTATTTTCAGTTTGTCGGTTCTCTGATGTTACTGTGTTCAACTTTTCGTTTGTTTAAAGACAGAAAACATAATGAAAACATAATGAATGGGCAATAATGAAATTTAGCAAATTCAACCAACCCTCGTGTGTCAAATGCAACAAATAAATTTCATCGATGAAGACAGCTCAAACGCTCATGTAGATATTGTGAACGTAGTGGTTTAACTTGAGAAATACATGTGGATCAATCAAATTATAAACTAAATTCGATTTGAAGTATTCCTAGAAGGTTAAAACTTGAATGTTGATTCCTTTTGACTCGATCTTCCTTCAGTTCCTTGGGATAATAGTAATAATTGTTGTTGGGAAGAGCAACTTTAACACTATGTTTGGCTCAAGGATTTTGGAAAGAAAAGAAAAGAAAATGGTTTTCTCTGATTTTTCTCACCAAAATGGAAGGAATTTGATTTTCTCTCCACTTGGTACATTTTGCCTCTTCATTTTCTTTTCCTTCCACTTTTCCTTTCTTTTTCCCTCTAATCAAACAAGAAAAATGGTTTTCCACTTCATTTTCTTTTCTTTTCCCTTTCAAATTCCTTGAACCAAACATAGTGTAATGGTTTTCAATAAAACAAGGGTAAAATGTTTATGTTTTACATTGGTAAATAATTTATGTTTTAGTCCTATCTAATGTAAAGTTCACATAAAACAATTGCACTTGGAATATCACGATTTTTTCTTGCAAGTAATCAAATAAGACCAATTCCGTCGAATGAAAATTGAAAGTCATCAATATTATACACAAGAATACTTGTTTCTGTTATTACCGTATCACTCTTAGTGAAACCCCCAATTTGTCCTTCCGCGTCATGAAGCACATCAAAGAACTATTGGGTCTTTCGGTCAATTTTTAAAAGCGCCAGTTGTGGTTGAAGAATGATGAGAAGCAATGGATATAAATGCAAATTTATTTTGTTTAACAAATTCTTAAAACCATTAAATAGCTATCTAGCACCACCATAACCTTGACCATAATATTTAGATAAATTAAGTCTTACTTTAGCCCTTAAGAAAAAATGGATGGGTCACATCCTCAAGGGCCGCCAGCGACAAGGTCATTGAGAGGGGTAAAACGGACTTTGATCGCAGATTGATAGCCAAAAGTAAAAATTGCACCATCGCATTGTAACATTTATTTGTCACAAAGTAAATTAGTAAATCATATTCTCTTCATCCCTAAATGTTTCTTTCTTTAATGAAAGTCTCCAAAGAATTCAATATTTTTTCAAACGAAAGAAGTATGTTACTATTTTATTCTTTTTTCTAGTCTCAAATTCTAACCCCTCCCCCCTTTTTTTGGAAAGAAAATTCTAACCAGTTGTGTTTTTCATTTTCTAGGGAGTACGACTGTACGAGTAACATTTTCTTTGAAACAAGAAGAAAATTATTTAAAAGTACGAATGACTAATTGAAATATGGGTTTCGTAGAAGCTACGGTACCTACATTCCATTAAATTCGTGGACCGCCCAATTTCAAGATTGTCGTGTAATCATTGGCCCAACGACCCGAATTCTTAGAACCTACGGAGTAATAGTATTACATCAAAAAGTTCATAATATCCTCTTTATTCATTTTTAACTAAAATTTATCAAAAAAAAAACACTAACACAACTCTAAAATATTATTCACAAACTCTATATTCCACTATATCCATCACGATTTTGGTTACAAATTTAAAATTATGAGGTCCTATGGAGTATTTAATATACAAAATTCAAATTATGGAATTGGATTTGAAGACTTCAATTCCAATTCTAGTATTTGATAACATAAAAATTATGTGGATTTAGAATTGATATTGTAAAAAGTGAATTAGAATTGGTAAATTCAATTCTATGGAATTGAATCCCATAAAATTTCAATTCCAATTCAATTCAAATTCCATCAATTCTGTATATCAAACGGACCCTGAACAAAAATTTCAGGACTTTTGAAATTATTTCATTTACAAATTAGTACACAAATAAAAAAAATTATATATTAAAAAATTACATCAAAAGTTTTATAAAATAAGAGGTGACAAGACTATTTTATTTTATCAAATAAACAATCAAAATACGTAAACAAACAAAAGTTATCAAGAGGTGAGAAAATCAAGGGAAAGGATCAAGTGACATTGGTGGGCAATGTCATGGGACGACCCAGGGCACTCCGGTGTCCCGTTCGTAAAATTGACGGTTCCTACCCCTCCTAACCCCCCGGTAAACCCCCAACCCGGCTCCGACCCGAACACACACCCCACCCCCTTCAATTGCACCCCACAAGTTGATTTTGATTTTAGAGTCATTTGACAGTTATTATTTTTAATTTAATTTATAAATATATAATAATTGATGTGAAATTAATAAATAAACTTACAAAGTAAACAATTATTTCATTTAAAATATTTATATATAATATTTTGTGTCAGCGTGAACTACCAGATACACCCGAGTAGGACGTAGTTGAGGAAGAAATTCAATCCCGCAGACCATGTGCCGACCGAAAAGGGTTTGTGACACATAATAATTAAATGCCCAATACAAAATGAAGGGATGAATGTAAACTTGTAGGAAAAGGGATGGGTTTCCATTGATTTTATCTTTCCGGCTCTAGAATGTATCTGGACCCCATTCTGTTCCAGACGTGGCACCGGAACAGTCCACTTCACACATTATGGAGCTCTAAATATAAAAATTAAAATCATCATGGTATCAAAAAAGATATGTGGGGAGGAGAATTCAACAATTAAATTATACGTTAATGTTTTTTAAAGGCAAAGAATGCCAAAAGGGTAATATCGAGTTCGATTTCTGGCAACTGAGCTCAGAGGCAAATATGTTAAGCATATAGTCTCTGCAAATACGAGATGCACACTTCTTTTTTTACCATCAATATGCGATCAAAATTCAATTTATCACTTCTCAGTGACTCTTTAACTGAATCTGAGGAACCTAAAAAATGGGAGTATGGGACTCATCTTTTTTTGTTTTATATTCTAGAAGCACATAATGGACAAGTTATAGGCTCTCTAGGGTGGGCATAATTGGACTCATCCTATACGGAGTATCAAAATTGGAAAAACAATTAAGTGTGAGGAAGAATTTTTTTTTGTATTTGAAGGAACAATTAGTGTTATTTAAGTAAATTCCTCAGAAATATTTGCACTAAATAGCACTAAAACTTAAATAATTTCCCTAAATAGCATTTAAATTATTTTATTCCCTAAATAACACTTAATAATGTCCATAATGTCCTGTGATGAGGAATATTTACTTGAATAATAACTAATGCATAATGACTAAAAGTGTTATATTATGAAGAAAAAACATATGTGGTGTTATTTAGGGAAAGTCATAATGTTTTAGTGTTATTTAAGTAAATTACTCATATAGTAAATGGGAAGGGGCAGAAATAATTAGTTTCTCATGAATATAATCAAATGATTGAACTATTTGAAGAATGAAAGAACATGGCCTTTTAGTGACTAAATGAACAAATAGATTAATGTAGAGCCCAAAACTGGGAAGAGTGAATGAAATGATCAAACCCCACAAGTTAATTATATGATTAATGAGTCATAGATTATATTCCTTATTAGATTTGATTTTAAATTTAGAGCATCCAATTTTTTTTTTTTAAAAAAATATTTTAAAGTCAAAATATGGAGACCTCCAAAGATATATTTAGATTGTGGACAAGTGTATGGTGGGCGTCTAAGAAGTTTCCAGCGCAAGCGCAAGGATCTGTCAAGGATACTGTGAATTATCTAGACCATTTGTGCCACCTAATATATGTCACTTTGAAGTGCTTTAGAGAATTTTAAGAATCTGTATTTGATATTGATTTTTAAGAGCTTTTTTTATGCAAGATGATTTTTATTTTTTTTACCTTTTTTAATATTATTTTTCAAGGTTTCGATAACGATTTTTTCGTAAGTTTTTTAAGAATTGCTTCACCTGAAAAAAATGAAGTAGAGTTGATCTACAAAACACACCGATTGCTTTATTTTGCAACAAAAGGGATCTTTATAATAATCACATCTTAGTAATTGTACGAGTAAAAATATTCTAATGATCGACTTAAATAAAATAATCACGGAGTATTCAATTTTATATTCTATTTATTCAAACTGAAGACATGAGTATCCAAATTACTACGTATAATTTTCAGCCAATTCTCACTTTACAACATCAAGCTCCAATTATTTTTTTAAAATAAAAACAATCATTCACAAAAATAAAAAGACACAAAGAACAGATTTGTTTCGGATTTGATTGAACCGCAATAAATCCCAATAGCCCGGACCGGATGAGCCCCAGTAGGATCGAGCTGACTTGTTAAAAAGCCGGGAACTTCGCTCTCCAATTTCATTCCGACTCGTAAAAAAGCTGCTGCGCTCTGTCCCGTTAAAAGCACGACGGCGACGTTTCATTACCAGTTTATTCCGTGGCGCCAACCCCCAAACGGCAACGGAGTTCAACCTCCGCCTACCGCCGCCGTGCATCGCCGCCACTAACTTACCGTTACGCGCGAGCAAATATAGCTATATACCCCACCACCACCGCCCTCCGCCACAGATCCGAGTACATTTTTGTACTATTATTCTTTTCTGCTCTCGGGAGACAAACGACATGTGCGTGAAACTATCCTTTTAGAGAGATAGATAGAGATTGAGATAGAGAGAGAATTTATATTGATCAGGTTTACTGTGTGAGAAAGTGAGAAGGCTTTCTCCGCTAGGTAAACCGCCGCGAGGAACTGAATTGATTGATTTGGAAATTTCTATTCATGTTAAAAATGCTGAGTGAAATGTCTGGATATTTATTGCTCTTCGTCCCCATCCGATTACTGTGTTTGTTAATTTATATTTTTATGCATTCATTATGAGCCTGGATGGTTTCCTGCGAGATCTGAATTTTTTTGTCGGCGTTTGTTATTTTTAAATTGCAGATTTGTGTTAAATAAATATATGTTCATGAAGGTGCATTGAATTTGGAGCAGAATGCCAGGTAATTTCAGAAGGATTGAATGGACTTAGTTGAATCAGTTCTGCTGGATCTCGTTTCATTTATGTGTTTTTAAATTTGTTTGCAGAGATTGTTTTCGCTCCGGAAGAGGATAGGGAGAAGAGATCTGATTTTGAGGTCTCTGAGGACGAGAAGAGGAGAACGAGGATCAGATCTCTGAAGAAGAAGGCGATGAGCGCTTCCACAAGACTAACGCACACTCTCAAAAAACGCAGTAAACGCGTGGCTCATTGTCGATTCGCCTCCATTTCAACGGAAGATATTAGGGACGAGAAGGAAGAGGAAGAGGTGAATACATTTCGTCGGGTCTTAATTGAAAAGGATCTCCTTCCACCTCGCCATGATGACTATCATACCATGCTCAGGTTCATAAATTTCCACTCTATGAATTAATGGCCCTTGAATTTATCACCTGCAATTAATAGGCGTCTTTTCAGCTGCTCATCAAGTGAAAACGCACTTTAATTCTTGAGTACTTTAATTTTTCTCCAGTATTAACTCTGCTGAGTTAAACACCTTTAATGGATCGCATTTGTTTGTCAGTTGAAACTCGAATAAAAAAGAACTCTCCCTCCCCTCTTTTATTTTCTGGGATTTATGAAATGAGGGAGAGCTACTGATACAGCCATATTAATTTACTGCCGCTTTGAGTCTTTGGAGAAAGGATAAATTAAATTGCATTCATTGCAATAATTGTTTGTTTTCTGAGCCTTTCTACAAAAAGTTGCACCATCATTGCCACACACCAGGAAAATGACCATAGATGCTCATTTATTGTGTATGCGCAGCAAGATTTGCCTATAATACCCTCATAGGTGCAATTGGTCATGTTTTTGCAGAATAGGTATAGAAGACAAATGAATCATTACCATACAACTAACACATACGACATATGTAATATATTCAAGTGGAAAAATCCAAAAGGGAAATACAATAGGTAGTGAATACATATCTTATTTTATAGGATAACAGAGCTAACACTTTAGTCCTTGTTTGAATGACACAACCTTCTTCTGGTAATATGGGTTCTTTTCGTTGTACTTTTCTTCAAACACTCCTTCAAAGTTCAAGCAATATCAAGGTAGAGATAATATTGGATAACAATCCCCGTCCGAGAATAATACTCCTTGCAGGAACATTTCTTAGGCCGTCTTAAATAATACGGAATATACTCCATCCACCCCTGAAAAAGACTTCCCTGTTGTGTGTGAAGATGCTTGACTTCAATCCTTTTCAATCAAAAACAAATAATACGATAATATATATTTGAAAACTGCATCAAAAGTTTTTAAAGCAAGAGGCGACAAGAGTATATTATTTTATCAAATGAGGAATAAAAGTAGACAAAGAGAGTGGTCAAAGTTTGACATATAAAGTGTGAACATGAAAATGAGATATACACTATTTCATCATCAGGGCCTTGTTATTTTATATTACTCCGATATACTCCCTTCATTTCAAATTAAACTTCCCATTTGTTTTTTCACGGAATCTAAGTAAAAATGAAATTAATCAGTTGAGATTTATGCAGAGGAGAAAGAAGTAATGTGAACCACTTAAAGCATTCTCTTAAAGGAATGAGAAAACTATTATGGGACAAACAAAAATTGAAAGTGTCACATTTATTTCGGGGTGGAGGGAGTACTCACTTCATCCAAAATGTAGTTTATTGTTTGACTTCACTCAGTGTTTGAGAAAATGGTTGAAAAGTAAAAAAATGTGTGGTTGATTGTTGTTTAGAGAAATATGGTGAGCCATATATCCTTTCTCTTTATAACAAAGTAAGGGTGTAAACTTTTTTTGGTACATTCCAAAATGAATAGAGTAAACTTCATTTAAGAATCATTGATCTATGCTGTTCATACACGTCTTTATGAAGATTGTTATTGGTGATGCATTAGGTCTCCGCAAACAGCAGAGCAGAAAATAGTGTTATTTTTTAGATCCTTTCTTTCAGTTTGTTAATCAACTACATGGACAACTTTTCAGATTTTTAAAAGCAAGAAAATTTGATCTCGACAAGACAATTCAAATGTGGGCAGAAATGCTCAATTGGAGGAAAGAAAATGGAGTGGACACTATAATACAGGTAACCTTAAATGATTGCTATGTGTAATAGACGGTTCGGATTTATAATGCATGTCTGATGTAAGGTTTTGTTTCCTTTATTATGGTGTTTATGAAGAGTGTTTTGCAAGGCTGGGTAGATTAACTCTAGAGTACTAGTCTAGACATCCTTTTTGAATTGTTTCCTTTTATTTCATTGAAAAGAAATTTACATTTGTAATACTATCTATTAATTTTTAAGTACAGTACTACTTTTACTTTTTGTTGCATTGTCGGGGGTTCACTTAGAAACAACCTCTCTGCTTCATTGGACTGGGGGCAAGGCTTGCGGCCACTTTACCCAGACCCTACTCTTAAGTGGGGATATACTGGCTTTGTTTGGTTTGGTCTGGTTCTTTAACTGATTGTGTTTTTACTCAGCATATGTAGATGCAAATAACTTTATCATCTGGTCAAGTAAGCTTCTGATTAATGCTTTGTGGAAAACAATATGGTTTAGGATTTTGCCTACGATGAATTTCAAGAGGTTCAGCTTTACTACCCTCATGGTTACCATGGTGTAGATAAGGGCGGGCGACCTGTCTACATTGAAAGACTTGGCAAAGTTGAACCCAGTAGGCTTCTGAGTGTCACAACTGTAGATCGTTTCTTGAAGTATCACATCCAAGGGTTTGAAAGGACATTTGCTGAGAAGTTTCCTGCATGCTCAATTGCATCAAAGAGGCATATAGATTGTTCGACCACAATCCTTGATGTCCACGGAATGGTATATATTCTATCTATCAACTGTTTCAATCTGTGGTACATTTATAACAGGTTTTTGTTTTTTTACTTATTCAAAAAGCTTTTTTTCCTGCTGAGAACATCTAGAACTGGAGAAGTTTTGGAAAGCTCGCCCATGAACTAGTCATGCGAATACAAAAAATAGATGGTGACAACTATCCTGAGGTGCCTTTATTGTCATTTTTATGAAATAATGCATACTAGTGATGTTTGGTATCCTATTTCTCTTTATTGTGGCTGTTAATCTAGTATCATTTCTGCAGACGTTACACCAAATGTTCATTGTTAATGCTGGAAGTGGCTTTAGATTGATATGGAACACTGTTAAAGGCTTTCTTGATCCACGGACTACGGCAAAGATACATGTAAAAGAATATGTAGTCAAATGGTTTTGTACTCAAGGACCACAATAAACACTGAACTAACAACATTACATTTATGCATTTACAGGTCTTAGGGAGCAAATTCCAGAGTAAATTACTGGAAATCATAGACCCTAAGTGAGTGTTAGTGTTTTAGATTATTAAAAAACACATACCATCAATTTGACGTTTTAACTTGTTTTTGAAAAAACTTGTGTTATGTTGTTCCTTTCCTAATTTATTTCTTCCGAGCAGCCAATTGCCAGACTTTCTTGGAGGAACCTGCGTGTGCCCAAATGAGGGTGGGTGCATGAGATCTGATAAAGGACCTTGGAATGATCCCGAGTTGATGAAGGTGTGTATGCTATCCATCTATCATCTAGCCTTGGCTTTGATTTGTTTCCTTGATTTGTAACACACCTAATGCTGATCTAATGCTTTCCATCACTTGCAGTTGGTTTCTGCTTTACATGGGGAAACAACTCATAGGAAGCTTGGTAGTTTCTCTGACAGTGAAGATATAGAATTCAAGCCACTTTCTTTAACGGTAAGAAAAAAGTACTGGTGTTTACATTATTACGGACTGTATTTTCATTAGCAATTTGCCTGAGACCTTCTATTGGAACAGTTACCTAAAAGTGAGATTGGGTTTGCTGAACCTGGTGCGGATGTGGGGTTTTATACTTATAGTGGCAAAAAATCAATCCAACTTTCTACTAACAAGGTAAGTGTTCAATATTACTTAATTTACTGTTAAATATTTGCCTCCTCATCTTTCTTACTTCATGTCATAGTCTCACTTTATCAACCCTTAAAGTATTTTCTTACATAGTTGGGTTAAGGTCACACACCCTCCTCATACGCTACTTTTTGTGACATTTTACTGGGCCTCTTGTACAGTAAGATTTCTTGTGTAGTTAAAGGAAAATGATGTTTTGAAACCTATGGAACTATAATGACAAAGAAGGATAATCTGTAACATAACACGTACTAGCAATGGTTCTACAACTCTTGATGCATATATTCTGCCTATGGTAGTTACTAATACGTTGGAATCTACTGAGTATGATCGTAGTGTCATTATGGTCGTAATTTTGCGGACAAATTTTATTCCTTTTATCTGTGTGTGTGCATGCGTGTAAAGAAAAGTTGCTACTTTCTCCAAATCTGGTGTTTATCTCTTCATTTTCATAATCATGTTCCGAACACGAATCTCCAGGAAACAGAAGGGAGACCTGAATCTCTTTGCAATATAGTTGAACAACTGGATGATGGGATTATAGTTGAAAACAATAGAGCTTCAAGTAAGTAATTCAACTATTCACCACTGTTCCATTTGATTACCATTAATTAGTATAGTACCATGCTAACATAGTACTTCAACTTGTTTTGTGTTTTACTTGGGGAGGATATAGCAGTTCCATCATAAAATTTGGTTACAAAGCAAATCATTCGTGTTTTTACTTATTTTGTAGCAGATATGACCAGCGGAGATTCCCAGGTTCAAGGGAAATCGATCCTCAAATTGTTGATGGACATCCTATTCAAATTGCTTGGATGGATATACATTTCCAGACCAATAATTGGTCGAATGTGTGTGAAGGAAAATTTGGACATGACATCAGATAACAAACAGAGGTCTAATACGCATAAAAAACAAAACATATCATGCCCGCCGAAGGGGGATCCCCTTCACCCCTGCTGCCAGAGGTTGCAACACTTAGAAAAGGCAGTGACTGAGCTTTTGAACAAACCTACAGAAATTCCTCCAGAAAAAGAACACATACTTCTCGATTCATTGGACCGCATCAAGTCAATCGAGTACGATTTGCAGAAGACAAAGAAAGTAAGAAACTGGAGAGCCCTTCATTGGTTTTCTTTGGATTTTATATTTGCCTTCCATCTAAAACTATTTTTTTTGTCCTATAGGCATTGTTTGCAACAGCATCACAACAAGTAGAGCTTGCCGAGTCCTTGGAGTTATTGAAGGATGAGAGTTTTAATAAAGTAATTCCTCAAAATCTTCTTTTCTGAAATTTCTTTTCTGAAATTTCTTTTCGCGTGTATCTTTTTTTTACTGAGTTCAAGAATTTCATAGTCGGAGTCTAATGTTCATTCTCACTGATTTCCAAACAGGGAACACAGTCTTGCTGGCCGCGAACCATGTTGTCATCTCCACGCGCAACCTGATCACCTTTAGAGTAATATATAACTTGTTTCGGTATGTACAAGAGACCGTTAGCCGACTGCCCCATTTTCAGCGTCTAACTCGGCTTCTTGGGTGGGCCCCATCAAGCCCTTTCAACTTCTAACCAGAACTACCGTAGGGATAAAGCCCAAGCACTTCGCGGTTCGCGCCTTTTTTTCTTCTCATTTTCATTTCATTGTGTCATGCTTTAGATAGTTTCCTGCCTCCCAGTTGTAAAGGGGAAATGTGGACATGCTTAAGACATGACAGAAATAGGAGAAAATATGTTCAACAAATCTTTAAGCCTATAAATCGGTTCAGGGTTCTCCTAAATTTGCACTTGGGATGGACCGAACTCATTATTCATTCATATAAATTGGTGCTGACATATATACATGGCTAAAAAGACACTAACTTTGAAACTGTTTGACTCCATCTTTCCTAATTTGTTGAATTTTTTTTTTCGTTTGTAATTTCTTGTGTGCGTTTCCTTTTTTAGAAAGTATCAAGTGGTTATAAATGTTTCTTGGGAGAAAGTATCAAGTGGTTATAAATGTTTCTTGGGACGGATAGTATAAACATAAATGCAGAATGTTTATTTATTGATAGTTAAAAGTACCCACACCAATTAACAGTACATTCGGAGTAATAATAATATCAATAATTGATTAAGAGACAAACATAAACACACGGATCACAGATGAGGAGACAAATATGTTTTTACCACTTAAAAAACTTGATAAAAGGAAGAAGGGAAGCGAGGAGTAATATGCACTTCCAACGGAGTCGCTCTGGGCAGAGTGGTGGCTTGACCCTCCGACATGTCCACCGGCAAGTTCGCCGGAGTGGCTATTTCAAACCCCTGAAGCAAGCGCGCGACGGTGAGATGCGTCACCTTCAGGGCGTACGACATCCCAGGACACGACCGCCGCCCGATCCCGAACGGGATGAACCCGAAATGCCTGCCCGGGTCGTCGCCGCCGCCGCTCCCCTCCAAGAATCTCTCCGGCGAGAACCGCTCCGGGTCCGGCCACACCCGCGGGTCCCGGTGTATCTTCCACGCGTTGGCATACAAGACGGTGTCCTTCGGGACGGTGTACCCGCCGACGATGCAGTCCTCCATGGCTCTGTGGGGCACCAGAAGGGGCGCCGCCGGGTACAGCCGCATTCCCTCTTTGACGGCAGCTTGAAGGTACGGCATTTTGTCAACGTCGGACTCCTCCGCCCACCTTTGCTTGCCGGCCACCGCGTCGTCTATCTCTTCTCGAACCCTCTTCATAGCTTGTGGATTGTTGAGTAATAAGGACAGTACCCATTCCAAATTCAGACCCAACGTGTCTGCTGCATCTTCCAGCATACTCTGTGTACATAAGAGTATAATGATCTCAATAAAGCTTTAATTTTAAATTAAGTGAATTAATTCAAGCGTACCAATGACGCCGCCTTGATTATGGTTTCGCGACTGTAAGAATGGCCGGCGGAATGAAATTTCCGGTCGATGACGGAAAGCATCACGTCGATGAAGTCTCGATCGTCATCTCCCTTGCCGTCGTTAGCTGAACTCCTCCTCGTCTTAACATGGTCTTCAATCCAGCTCTCCAGTATAGCGTCCATTGCTTTAGAGACTCGCTTCATGGAAGCAATCTGGCCGCCTAGATCCAACCCCCGCACCAGTCGGGTCGGGTAGAACGAATCCCCCGGGGCCAATTCCCCCACCAGACGCATAATCTCCTTGAACACCTTCGTCATACACCGCGCCTCCTCTTCTTCGCCGCCGGCCGCCGCCGAATTCGGCCTGTACGTGTACCTCCTCCCCGCGATCAGCTTCACGATCAGGTTCAGCGTCAGATGCCCGAACCACTGGCTCATGTCCACCGCCTTGGATGCGGCCGATTCCGCGGCGGTGCTGTGGAGTTCCCGGAGATTGGCGCCGATTTCCGACATCCAGACGGGCCGCAGCTTGTCGAGCGTGTTGTTGGAGAGGAGTTCCACCACCACCAGCTTCCGCATTTCCCGCCAGAACGGGCCGTACAGAGTGAACGGCAACACCGCGTAGTCGTACCCCATGTACTTCCCTGCGCACGCACCTCTTCATTTTAATCATCTTCATCTATTTCGACTTTGTGTTTACAAGTGACAATTTTTAATAAAGTAAGATATTGATATTTGTGGTAAGAATGAAAGATGACAATTATGACAATGATTTTTCAATTTATTTTTATTTTTCACTAATTTACAACTTTTATTATGACAAAGGATCTATTTACAATTATGACAATGGGGTTTTTAATTTCATTTTTATTTTTCATATTTTTGAAAATGTTAAAGCTAAATGATAGCGCTGGCAGAATGGTCGGTCGGGTCGGGTTCGAGTTCGATCACCTTGGGTTCAGGTTTGGGTTGAGAGCTACATGTTCGTGACTCAATATCATCAAGTTCGGGTTGACCCAATGGGTTATGACTTTCATTTCTTTTTGAATTTCTAAGTAATATTTATGACAAATTGTCTATATTACGAATAAAAAAATTAAATATGTAAAAAATTTTGAAAAAAGTAAGATAATTATACGAAATTAATAAAATTTTATATGAAAATATATATATTTATACATCAAAAACGAGTAGTAAGCAAAGAAATATAATTAAAATTTTATTTTTATAACATTATATTACATATTAAAGCATATAATTTTGAAATATTCTTACATTAGCGGGTCGGTCGGGGTCGGGGTCGGTCGGGTTTGACGCATTTTTAACGGGTAATTTCGGGTTCGGTCAACTTTGGATTTGGTCAGCAAAACCTTTGTTCAAAACCTAGTATTTTCGGGTCGGGTCTCGGGTCAAAAGCATGTCAGATCATTTTTTGCCAGGTCTACTAAACACTAATTTTAACCTCTAAAGCTATTTTCAAATATGTCCAAAAACAAGTGAGTAAAATTTTGCACGGTAAAGAGAATATATTGGTCCTAAAATAACAAGAAAACATTAAAAAAAAACCCCAAAAATACCAGCACAGTTAGGGGGGCGATCGGCGAGGAGCTTGTCGTTGGTTGAGAAGCAATCCCGGGCGGTTTCCCAGCTGCTGACTATCACCGCCGGCTGCATCCCGACCCGTATTGTGAATATGGGCCCGTATTTATCCGCCAGCTCTCCCAGCGTTCGGACCAGCGGTTGTTTCCCGGAGGAGAGCCGCCGGAGGTGCCCGAGCAGAGGCCATGCGCCGGCGACCTCCGGCGGAGTTTTCGACGTCGTCGCCTTGATTGATGTGGAGTAACTGGTACTCTTTCCCATTCGCTGCCGCCGCCATATGGGGAAGAACAAGAAAGCCCCTGCGGCTAATCCTAATAACAGCAGTAGGGAATTTGAGATTAGAAGAAGAGAAAATCCCATGCTTCCGTTCATTAATAATTAGTTTTGAGAGTTGGATCATGAATGTATGCGTATATATATGGTGTTGCTGTGGATAATTGATGTGCATGACGACGACGACGACGACCAATTATGGATTTTTGGCTATGGATAGGGGGCAAGTTGAGAACCATCTTTTGACACGACATTGTCCTATTTTGCCACCTTCTATTTCGAGATCGGGATAATTCAAAAGCATAAATCTTTTGAAAAATTTAGTCCATATAAGACTAAAAGGTACTCCGTAATACTTTTCTCTAAAATAGATACAAGTATGTTTTATTCTATTTATGACACATAATTTTATATGATCTGTTATATATGCCCTCATTAGTAACAAATACTGGTTAATGACTGATTATACGAATGTGATCATTAGCAAGTGTTGAACAATGACTGATGATTTCAATGACTATGTAAATTGTGTAATAGGTCATTTTTTAAAGGCATGACATTTTAGAACTTACCTTTGCCAAACATTAGAGTAGATAGGTCTAGTCAAACTTTTTTCGAGAAAAAAGTTACTCCGTATATGTCAAACTTTTTATCTACTACGTACGGAGTCTAAGCCGAAAGATGAACAAATTTTGGATGGGTATCTTATGAAGGAAGAATTCTCTAAATAAGATTAAAAGGTTATAAAAATACAAAAATATGAATTGTAATCTCTTAAGAATTAATTAAGAATCAATACATGATTCATCTATTTTGGGTGTCCAATCCAAAATTCAATTGGATAAAACTCAGATCAAATTTTTGACAAGAACGGGTACGAATTGATTATGAATTTTCGAACTTTAACCCTCAACCAAGAGCTTTTCCGGATTCTTATAGACGCGGAAGTGAGGATTGAGATGCAAACCGCGTCTTTTTTTAAAACCGCGTCTAGTCGCGCGAGACGTTAGAAAAAACGCATGCATTTTTCTGAATATTCATTTTATTGGCTAAATTTAATAATTGTATTTATCGGGTCTTAGAAGGCTCGGAGATGTGATGAAGAAGAATGAAGGGGCGTAGCCTTCATGACCGGCGAGCAGGTTGCCCGGCGGTAGTTCGAACGACTGTTGATTTCCATCCACAGAATTGCAAATCAGCTATTATAGATTTTTTCTTCTTCTTCTTCTTGCGTGAGTTGCATCAACTCCCATTTTTGTTTGTTTGTATGATAATGAAATGATGATTTGCCGCCCTATCTAAAATCTAAAATGTGATGCGCCACTTGTGCTGCTCGCCAACTTGGTCGTGCCACGTGGCAGCATCTGGTTGGCTGAATTTTGGTTCATCTACAAAATTGAATACTATTGTTTAAAATAAATGAACTATAAGTATTTCACTATAACTGTAAAATACTTTAAAGTAAAAAAATATGTACGTGGAAAATTTTTGGAAAAAAAAACTTTAATGATAATACCATTTATTTCTTGCCTTTTTCCCCTCTATATTTCAATATTTTAATATAGTTCTGTTCCGGATCTCCAAAGTGCATCCGACTGTGCTCCTGGTTAGGTTGTAAGTTTGAATACTCACAGAGTACAATTTTAATAAGATATTCTATTATTCCATGCACTCGATCTTAATATATAGTATGGACTAAGGCCTAGATTAGGGTCTGAAATAAATTTGGGCATATACTTCGTATGTTAAATTAATGGTCAGAATAGTTTTTCGGAATTAAATCTATTGTTAAATTAATTAATCATGTCGAAATATAAATTATTTAATTATTTGAAACTTGTTTTTGCCTTGTTTATTAAGAGATATGAAATCAATTAAGTCAAAATTTTAGAACTCATAATAGTACCTAAAGCTAAGATAAGTTAATGAAATATTTGCGATAGAAATATCATTATCCAAATATATGTGATAACGCTACAACAATAATTATCTAGATGATGCCTTGGCACAAAGTCATATCATCTGCAAAAGCGCTCAGTAGTCTTCCTTTCACAAATCGAACCGAGAAAGACTTCCACAACTCGTCCTAACCTACGCCTAATTAGAAAAATTAGCTCATTTTTTCATGGGTCACAACACTCGGGAAAAATTGACCATTTTTGGGAAGGTTGACTGCCGCTAAAACTTTTTGTATCAAGGTACTATGGGGTATTTTAATGTATTTAAAAACTTACTCCGCATGAATTTTTCGTTCATCCCTCTGTCATACTCACTTGCTCTATCATCTTCTTCTTCATCTTCATCTTGTTTTGTTCGGATCTACCCCTAACCCCATCCCACCCTTTTTCCTTCCTCTTCTTTTATTATGATGATGATGATGATTATTATTGTTGTTGTTGTTGTTACTTTTACTATTTTTATCAATATTAATATTATTATTAATTACTCACTCCGTGTGAATTTTTTTTTCATTTGACTTTTCTATCAAAAAGGATGTAAATTTTGACATAAATTTGTAAAAAAAATCATTGTGTTATTATATAAATAATGTGACATCAATAAATTCTTTTCGAAACATAATTTTGAAATATTAAATTATATATAAATATTCTTATGTATAAATATACATATTACTATTCAAAATTTTAAATTAGATACTGTGAAAAATCAAAGGAGAGGAAATTTTTCAGACAGAAAGAGTGTTATTATTGTTGGGAACGTCGCCAATACGCCGCCAATATGCCACCATCGTCACTCCGTGGTTGTCAGACGCCGTTGTTGCTTCACGATCAGCCGTGGTCTTCCGCAATTGTCACCGGGAGGTTAGTGCCACTCGCCACCGATGTTGCCTGGACGAAAAGTCCTTCCGGAGTGAGTTTTCCAATAATTTCAAATACCACGAAGTATATTTTAAAAAACGAGGAAATTCTGAAACTTCTTATCAGGCCATCTCCAATGGGATGCCCAAAAGAGATGCTAGAAGGAGAGAGAGTGGGATGTTAATGGATGCTATTATTGTAGATAGATGCCCAATAGAGATTGTTCAAAGAGGAAAATGAAAGGAAGATGCTTGGCCTAGCACCCGATGCTTGAGGATGGAAGAATTGTGAAATTTATTTTTTAAGTTTTGTGGTCAATATGTATGTGCCATGTGTCATATTTATTATTTTTTCAATTTGAAAGTTTGCATTCATATTTTTTTAAAGGCTCGAAATTTTTTTAATTATTAAATTAGATTTGGCGCCTTCAAAAAAATTAAATATGGTAATGTTCTAGAATTCGAACTCTTTTTTAATGGAACGACTCTTCTTATTTTTTTTTTGAAAAATTTCTTAGGTATTCGTTTTTCTGTTTGTTTTGAAACAATATTAACTACATCATATATTAATTACATAAAAAGCATTTTATAATATTTTACTTCCTCTGTCCCTGAAAGGGTTTCCATTATTGACTTTTTGGGAAATTAAGAGAGGGATATTTTTATGTTGGCTTTCCAAAAATACCATTGATGTGATGGGTAAAAGTAAGATGTGATGGATAGATTATTAGTAAAAAGATATGAAGTGATAGGTTGGGTATGAAAAAGTAAGGGTAAAAGTAGTTTTTTAATAGATAAGGGAACATCTTTTGGGGACAACAAAAAAATGAAAGGGGAAGATTTTTTTAGGGACGAAGGAAGTACAAGATAAATCTAAGAAATTTATTTTTGTATCAATACCTAATATAAGTTTTATTTAATTAAAGACCAACTTTTATTAATTTAAATGTAAAAAGTCAAAATTATATATTCTAGGACGAAGGTAACATTGATAATAACGAGTAAATAATTAATCTTAATTAAAAAATTTATCATATGATAAATACTTATAATTAAGAAAATAAAATATAATTATATTTATGTTGACCCACTGCATTTATTGAATAAAATGAGGCATCCATATGAGATGTCACCATTGAAAGATTTAGATGTTGAGAGAGGTGCTCAATTGACATCTTTAAAGTAGAATCCACACTTCAACATCTAGCGAGGGATGCTACCATTGTGGAACAAAACGAGGATACCCAACCACAATTTTTTTTGGGATTGAGGGGAGAGGGAAACGACATCGGATGGTCTTCAAATTCCGTGCCTCATCTCTCGGCATCGAGTTGCGGAAACTGTTTTACCAGCCATCATATCATCTACTTGCGCAATAGGAGAACTTCAAATTTTGGAAATGAGCAATCTGACTCAATCCGCCCAAAAGACTCCAAACATCTTCACAGTCTCCATGGTGTGCTTCAAAAAAATAAAAATAGATTGTGGTAAAAACTTATTGGAGTAATTAATTTTTCAAAATATCTTATTTTAATGAAATATCAGAGTATTTATATATAAATAAAAATACAAATGCTAAAAAGTATTCTCGGAAATACATTGTAGATAGTGAAAAAAATAAAATGAGAAGAAGATTTTCGTTGATAAGTAGAGATATAAATACTCAATGTATTACTCCATACATTGAACATTTTTTACTTCGTCAAACTTCTATGAATTCCCATCTAAACATTCAAAACTGAAAAAAGATTTGTGCGGTGAAACCGTGAAAGTATATAATTCTTCCATCTTATTAAAAGGTTTTAGTTTCGGTTTACACCATCCATTCGACTGATATTCTATTCAATCAATTTATATGAAAGTTGGTGTTAAATTTAAAAGTAAAAATTACATATTCAAAAATATTAATTTTTTTCAAATAAAATAGGAGATGACATCACTAGTTATTATATCAAATGATCGTAGTTTACTTTTTTTTGGAAATAGTATATATTTTGTCATGGAGTTCCGATTTTAACCTCAGTTCTAACAAATCAAATACGCCGTATTCCAATCATTTACTCCGTATTTGATCCCCAATGGAACTATACTGTTTCCTTAATTACGCTCTATAATCGGAATTTCGTGTCTCCAATTCTGAAAAGCATTATAAATTTTTTCTTTAACAAAAAAAGAGTGTCACTTTATGGGTGTGTTTGCATGGGGAAAGTGTTTTCCCAAAGAAATGAGAGTTGATATTAGCACTCCAACTTTTTTATGGGTACTCCACCTTTGATAAAAGTGGACCGGATTACCCTTTTGCTAATTTAAAAATTTTTGCATTTGTAAACTAGCCATTCCACTAATTGGACAAATGGAGTTATAGAATTCTATTAACAAACTTTGTATCATAGTCCACACTTATTTTTAAAACAATATTTTGGAAAAATATACCAAAATATAAATTCTATGTTTTTATTTTCAAACTAGAAGTTAAAATGTATATACAATACTAATCATGCCAATACATAATATCAAAAAATATTGTGAAATATCCATATACAGTGCTATGTTATTACAATGTAAATTCTAATTTTAATTATAAATATATACAGCTCTTGACACTCATGAGAGATCATACGTCGGAGATATCGGATAGAGAGCTGAAGATGCACAACGACATGATGAATGCAGCCCTTGCCATGACTAGAGCGGAAAATTTCCAAGCATTTTTTTACAATATTCTGTTACTTACTCCGATCATAAAATCATTTCCTATTTTGACTTTTTTTGGTCAAACAATGATACTCTTTAAGCACAAATTATACATAATCTAAACAAATAAATAAATGATATAACAATTTGATATATCAAAACTATACCTAAGATGAACTCAATTATATTGAATTTATATCATAATTAAATATATTATTTCCATAATTTATAGTCAAAGAATGTCTTTTTTGACCAAAAAAAGTCAAAATAGGAAAGATCTTTAGAACGGGAGGGAGTAGTGTTTATGATTTTAATTTTAAGCATGTTAAATTTTCTCTTTTTATTGTTATAATTGTTTTTATTTTTATTATTATTTATCAATATTTGATGATTCATAAATATCTTTATTAAATTTATATAAGTTTTGAATTAAAAATTATGAATAATAAAAAGAAAACGCTGTAATGTAAACCTAACTCTATGTTTGGTTCAAGAAATTTGAAAGGAAAAGAAAACAAAATGATTTCCCTCACTTCACCAAAATGGAATGAATTTAGTTTTCCCACCCTTCTCTCACTTTTCTTTTCTTTTCCTATCTAACCAAACGAGAAAAATGTTTTCATTCTCTTTTTCTTTTCAACCAAACATACTCTAAGGACCTGTTTGGTTGGAGGAATGGGGAGGGGAGGGAAGGAAATCTGAATCCCTCCCCTTGTTTGTTTTAAAAACATGGAGGGGAAGAAATCTAAAATTTTAGTTTCAATTCCCTCCCCTCCCTCCAAATCAATCCTTTCAAATCGGACGGAATCTCCTTTTTCTACTGTGAGTCTCTTCTTCTTCTGTCAATTTCTTTCACCTTATAAATTAAAAATAATATAAAATAAAAAAACAAAATTAAAATAAATAAACAGATAGTAGTAGTAATTAATAAGTAATGCCAAAACAACTAAATAAATAATAAGAAAATAAGATAAATCATTATAGTATAAAAAATTATTAATAACAAAAATGTATACTAATAAAATAAATAAATAAAAATAAAAAACAAAATATAAAAATAATTAAAAATTAAAATGAAAACTAAAAATAATAATATAATAAAATAAAAACCCATCATAAAAATAATAAAAATTTAAAAAATTATAGAATAAAAGGTAAGAATTAATAATAGTAAATAATAATAATAATAAAATAAATCAATCCATTAATAATAAAAAATCATAGTAATAAATAATAAATAAAATAATATGTATGTGTGTGTATATATGTGTGTGTCTATATATATATATATATATATATAATTAAATTTAAAAAAATAAATTAAATAAGAAATAAAAAAATCAAATTGTAGGATAAATAATAAAAATAATGAAAAAAATTAAAATAATAAAAAATAAAGTGAAAGAATTATTAAATAAAACATATTGATAATAATTTTAAAATAGATAACAAAATAAGTTTAAAAAATGAAATATATAGCTAAAATATTAAAAATAAAACATTTCCTTCTCCTCCCAACCAAACAAGGCGAAGGAATCCTTCCCTTCCCGCATCCATTCCTTCCCCTCCCCTCCCCTCCAACCAAACATACCCTAAAGGTAGTCACATTACTGCTTGATTCTGCATTCATTCGGTTCGCGATTGCCTCTTTAAACTCGGAGTTACTGAATTAGGGTTAGGGTTTCGGTCATTTGAATTCGCTGTGTTGACTATTCGCATCCCGCCAAAACCAATTCATGCGATGTACGCTGATCGATTGGAGGCTGGAACGAGGCTGCCAATTAAGGACCGGCTCAACGGCAGCGCTCTTGACGGTTCTGGTCGCCCGCGACAACTTTCCGGCAAGAGGTTCTCTTTCTTCTTAATTGTACGATATGCTGTGTATCTCATCCTCTATTTATGTATGAATGGCGAATGCTGGGATGGGGTTTTAGGAATTGTTATCTATGACTGCGAAAAGTTGAACTCTTAATAGTTAATTCTAATCGTTACCATTTCCCCTGTTAAAACGCCGATTCTATTTAGAGAGAATTCATTAGCAAAACTGCCTTGCAAATTCATCTAGTTGCTGTTTACTAGCTCGACTGCAGCAGTAGTCAGTACTCAGTAGCGCTGGTAAACTAATTATGCATTTGTGTTGAATGATTCTCTTGAAGACTCAAGTATTCGGAGAAATATGTTCAATAGCTGGCTTTCAATTCAAATAGCTCACAACAGTAATTCGATATTGCGAACTGTTGGTTGCTATGGGATGACGTTGTCTGAGAGATGAACTGAAAATGGAATTTCTGTTTATACTTGAAATGACATATTGAGTTTGAGGGAATGGTTGCTGCCATTTTTCTAGATAATAAATTCAACTCACAGAATATCTCTGCAGATATATGGATACTCCTGATACATATTGTTATAAAGTTGTGACGTGCTCTGCAGGCAGAGAGAAGATGACAAATGGGGGCATGAGTTGTATGATCTCAATAGACCTCACATGTTAAGTATGGGAATCTTTTTGTTTGAATGCATGAACTGTTTTTCTATTGTTTCTATATATAATCTTTTCAAGTTTTCATGAACAGGAAGCGGAATAGGTTCTAAAGACCTGCGTTTGAAGCTGCAAAGGAAAAGTAGCCAACAGACTCTTCAAAGCGGGAAAGCGTCTGTCTCTGGAGGTGTGAGGGATCTACGTGAAAAGCTTTCTGGTATATCGTATTCCCAAATGGATATTGATCTTCCAAAGCCTACCGTGAAGCGGAAGAAAGCCCCTGTTATAAGCTCTTCTGTCAAGGAAAAAGTTGTAGCTGAATCTCCTGTAGCCGAAACCAAGAAAGTTGCCAACATGGTTGTTAAGAAGAACCAGAAGAAGGCAAGTTCATTTGAGTGTACATTATTACTGTTTGATTTTCCAGTTCATGTTTTTGGCCCCATATAAGTATAAAACTGGTGCTCGTTTGTACTCGTAATTGTTTTTTATTATAAAAGCTTTCCAACATTCAATTCTAGAACATTAAATACATTAGTTAATATAACAATGACCTTTGAAATCTCTTCATAACAATATTGTATGGAGTACAGAGTACTATTTATGCTAAAAGTCATACACATTGTTAAATTAATAGTAAATTATAAGTTTATCAAGTAAGTAATAATGCGCTAAATTAATACTCCCTCCGTCCCAAAAAAGGTTACGTTTCATTTTTTGACATCCCGTAAAACACTTCTATATCGTCTCAAATGCCAAAAAAACTTTCAAAACGACTTCTACCCACAATAAAGGGTAAATGTGGTAATTTTTAGGCATTTTAGATGTGGGTAGAAGAGTTTCTTTGGGATGTGCAAAAAAAAAACGTAACCTTTTTTTTGGGACGGAGGGAGTAGAAGTTTTTTTGTCCAAAAGCTATTAATTTAAAGGGGTTGTACTGTATTTGTTCGTTAGGTAAACCTATCTAAGATTGTAATAATCATGCGGTGCCTATTTATTAGAAATATATTGCGATCAAATTAGAACAAGAATGTTAATTAATTATGTAGTATGTGTGGTATATCTGGTTTTTAGTTGTTGTCTTAAGGATGTAGCTTGCATTACAAGCTTGGAAGAATAATGGAGTGGATATTTAGGTTTGCCCTTAATAGGTGAATACACTTTCGAAGACTTTTGGGATATCATGCATCCATATTTGACTAAACTTGACATGAGCTTTTGTTAATCCTTATCTCCATGGGTGATTCCCTTATCACTCTAAAGGAATGCCAAAAAGTGTGGCATTAGACTTGTCAACTCTTATACATTACCTTATGAACATATCCCTTTTTTGCAATTATAGTGGGTTTTCACATGGAGTTTGTGTGTTGGTTTTATTGCCTATTACATGCTCCCTCCGTCCCTCAAAACTCTTTACCCTTCTCATTTTTATCCCTCCCACAAAAATATTCACCTATCCACTTTTAACACTAACGGTATATGTTAAGGACCAAAGCACCCTATTGTCATTATTACTCACACTACTACCTATCCCCAATTTATCAATCTCTCTTCTTCGTATTCCATCTCCACCTTTAGTTGCCGCCCTCACCTCCCAACCATTTTCTCCGTTATCATCCATGGTCTCTTGTGAACTACATTTCCCTCGTTCATTCTCATAAGACATAAGCCAAGATCTGTGTAGATTCTTCCCCTCTTCCCACCCCTACATTTACAAATGAGTAGGTGAAAACTCCTAGATCAGATTTGGATCTTGAACGATCTTGCTCAGAAGAGACAGATCCGACATGGTACTTTTGAAATGAGCGACATGAGATTCTTGGAAAACAGGAAATACTTCTACAATGTCAAAATGCAAAAGAATTTGCCGGAAAATCAAGTAATCAGTTCAAGAACAACTATTTCAAGGAGAACAACTACCAGGATGTTGGCGAGTTCCCAGAGGAGGAGAGAACATTACCTGAGATTTGAAAGTTCTGTTTTCTTTTTCATTACCAGATAAAAAATATTTAAAGATAATGTGAAAGTCCCAACTTTTTTTGTTTTGAGAATTGAAATTTCTCTTTTGTTCAACATTTCTTTTCCTCCTTCTGGTTACTACTACAATTCCAAGTTGTATTGCTGCTCAAATATACAGTATAGGTTTCAAAAAGATTATTGTTTTGTGTTTCTTTTGCTCTCATTTAATTTAAACATATCTAGTGCAGGTTGGATCAGTGGATAATTTTCTCCAGCCTTTAGGTCTTGAAAAATATTCCATCACATTCCAAGCTGAAGAAGTATGTCATTTTCTTGTTTACAATTTATGTATAGTCTGTTGATGTTTGCTACAGAAAAGTAAACATACTATTCGCTATTAATGTAGGTTGATATGGATGCCCTTGTACACATGACAGATGGAGATCTCAAGGCCATAGGAATACCAATGGTAAATGATCAGTTTATATGAAATATACTTTTGGGAATTTATTACAGAAATTATGAGTAAGGTTTTGTTGAATTTATGGATCTTAGGAAATAAGATATTGATTTTTTTAGGGAAACAACCCAATGAAATCCCACAAGTGGGGTCTTGGGAGAGTCTACACAGAGTCACAGACTTTATCCCCACACAAAGAGATAGAAATATGTTTCTCAAAGACACCAGTTCAAGAAAACAAACAGAAACATGTTAGAACAATTAATGTTGAGGATAGTCAAAGATTAAGGCTGAAATATAAAGGAGAGTAAGAGAGGAATAATAAAAATCAGCACACAAAAGGTTACTTAAGGGCACCGAAACACTTCTAACACCCTTCTAGAACACAAGTCTCCCGGAGGTCTAACTAACCTACAACTCTATTCCTTGATCTCCTAACTCCTCTATGAGGTCATGTATTTGCTAAGTTGCAAAAGCAACATGTCCTGGCTGATCACTCATCCATAATACTATGTTTGGTTCAAGACATTTGAGGGCGAAAAGAAAAGAAAATGATATGGAAAACAATTTTTCATGTTTGGTTAGAGAGGAAAAGGAAATGATTAGAAAAAATTAGCTAAGAAGAGAGAAAACAAGATTCCTTTCAATTTGGTGAATAAAAGGAGAAATCATTTTCTTTTCCTTTTCTTCCTAATTCCTTGAACCAAACATACTATAACTCTTTCTCGGCCTAGTTCTACCTCTCTTCAAACACCCTACAACTTGCCTCTCGCACCTATTTCTTCTCTCGAAATGCTCAAACGACCTTAACCTTGATTTACGCATCTTATTTTCCACATACCCTTTTGTAGGACCTCCGCCACGGGACAATTGATGCACCCATGGCCAACACCTTTGTCCTTTATATCTATATCCTTGTTTTTAGGGATCAAAAAGAATGTTAAAAAGATCATCTGCAATAGATATATTTTCCCATTGTGAGTCCAAGAATCTCATTAAAGGCAGTTAAATCAAGTAGCCTTTTATTTGTAATAGAGTAATCAGGGAAATGTACAATAATGTCTCAAATTTCTTGCATGTTTGTACAGCTGGCAAAGAGCATGGAGTTTGTGGAAGCTAAAATTTCTGAATTTATATGTTTTAATGATCATAAAAAAGTTATATACTCTGTCAAAGTTCCCAAAATGAAATATTTGAGAACTTTGTGTGTCCAAAAAATTGATTAACAAAAAGTAGTTAATTATCATGATATTTGATGTCCTCTTTTTACTAAAAAGTTCAGCATGCTAAAATTAGTTAAGCCAACAAATAAATTTACCGAAAATAGTTAGAATATATGCTTTTCAATAGTTATACTTTGCTAAAATTTAATCTTTTGTACTCCGTATATATTTTTATATATAATCTTTTGTTGGAGAGCAAGGCATTTGCTTCATTGTGTCCCATAGGATTATCCCTCCCAAAAAGATTAGTCTATATTACTGTATTTTGTTTAGCTTTTTTGACAAGCCCTCCCATACTATGACTATTGGGTGTCCCCCCCCCACCCCGGGAGTTTACTTTGTAGGCAACTGAGGGGGGGGGGGGGGGTCATGGCATCGGCTTTGTATGCCCTTCAAGAAACCCCCGCTGGCGCCACTCAATTTGTAGAAGAATACCTTAACACACTATTAAGTGTTTATCTTCTCCTATGAATGAGAGAATTGGGTGGTTTCATTGTTTGTTACAGGGTCCAAGAAAGAAGATACTTCTAGCACTGGAGTCCAAACGCTGAGAAGTTCAAATAGGTTCGTATTGATTGATTAATTGTGATGGCTCTTTCCCTTCTTAACTGTAAAAGTAGATGTAATACAATAGCAGTGATTCTGGGATCCTCATGCACGTGATCGTTGACGATCAATTCCTAAGGGCCTGTTTGTTTGGTTAACTTCATGATGTTTGTTTGTTTGGGGTACTGACATTGCGCCATTCGACCACGAAATGCTTCTTATGTACACTGCTCATTTGACACCGACCTTCTGTTGACACTAGTCGTACGTACATCAAACCATACTAACGAAGTAAGTTTTACAAAGCATGTGACTATAACAACTTTTTTTCCCAAGAAAGAGAGGCGGCACTCTCCACCCTTTATCAAAAAAATAAGGAGTAATGAAAAAGTGAGAGTACAAACAGATGGTCCAACCGGACACCGGCTTCAAAAATAACAAACGGGGGATCTAACTGGTTGAAGAAGAAAACAATCAAAGAGTATGTAGTTCTTCAAACAATCAAAGCCTCGTGTAGGGCACGCCACATGAAAATGTGTATCTTGTGCGGAATTTTCTCGTGCACGCTTTTTATCTCCGTATCATCATAGTCGTAAAATTATTTTTTCAATACTGATGAAGATTAATACATTGTTAAATGAAGATAAAGTTTGTACTCCATTGTATTTATTTCAATCCGAGTATTGTAGGGATTTTAAATAGATTCAATGTTATGATTTGACAAGTAAAATGTCAATAGAACCAATGTACTGTAGATAACAATCTTTTTAAAAGTATTTTTAATACAGTCTTTTAAGATAAAATAGTTTTAAATAACTATCTTTCAAAAGCATTTAAAAAAATCATTTGCAAAGCTAAGAGTAATGTTATGTAACATAAAAGGTGATTTGTCAAAGAATAATTAGTTTAAAAGGCGATTTTGTAATAGAAAACTCAACAAAAATGATTGTTTAATAAAAAATATTTTCCCAAAAGGTTGTTTCCTAAAAGAAACCAAATATAAAATGGTGATTTATTAAAAAAAATACTTCAAAAGGTGGTTTCTTAAAGATACAAAACATAAATTGGTGATTTCTTACAAAAGTCTGTTTGAATTATTATATCCTAAATTATGAAAACAATATTGAAAAAAAAGAGGACATACGGAGTATTATACTATTTATATATTCATACTATGTCCGTAGTATATTACACTTGAAAATTATATTATAATCGTTAAATAAATTCAAAATTAGCTTAACGAAATGTAAGTAACCAAATTTGTAATTCAAGTTAAAATTGCAAATTAATTAACTACTACAAGTAATGACATACGAACATCTAACCTTATTAAATACTTTTTCTAACACAAACAACTAACACGATAGTAGAAAGACTGAGACTTGTTCTCTTCACCTGATCCGATTCGTCCTGATGCAATTAAAATAAATTCTAATCTGATCTAATTGTAGTTATATTTAAAATTGTTTCTCTGATTTGATCTATTCTGATTCTAATCTCCAATAAGAATGAAAGAACATGCTCTGGGTCAAAAATCAAAATGTAGTGCATGTAAAATTATATACATGCAGTTGGACTCGCGCTTGAAAAGTCATAGAAATAAAAGAAGAGCCTAGTCAACAACCATTACAGCCTGCATCGCCATGGTCAACGGTTGATAATTATGGTGATGAAGACCCTCTTTACCAGGTCATTTTTCTTCTCTTAAAAATCTATATATGTGTGTATGTGTATATGTGTGTCTTCACTCTTCATCATCATTACACTTTGAAGCTCAAAAGATTGTGTTCTGTCATCTTGACGAATTTGCCCTCGCAAGAATGGGTGTAAGTCAACTCCTTCATGCTCTTAACTACCTCTCGAATTCTCTTCATTCATAACACTCTGAATTATTGTTTATCAAGCCAGCAGTAGAATTTTGGTTTAGATTTTCTCATCGTATTCGTCGTTTAGTACGGACGTGTAGTCGAATCATAGTGAAAATATGAATGAAGGAATGAACGCCTTAGTAATAAGTAACTAGTGATAAGAGGTTGGGTTTGAAATGCAGCGTCCGAACGTGCCAAGGTTTGGGAACTGGGAGAATGAGATTCAGCCCTACACGGTCTGCTTCGACCAAGCGAGGAAATATAAAGGTGGGAAGGCTATAAACCCGAACGATCCCCAAGATTTTCCAGGGATGTCTCAGAACGTGGTCCCCTCTTCTGCTAAGCCAGGGGATCAGCTGAGGCGCAGTGGAGGCGTTCCCGCCATGAATGATACTCCAGGCCGCCGTTCAAACTCTACCACCAGCGCGGGCCATGAATCCAGCTTTGGGAAGTTACCCAGGAGGGAAAAGGTGGCATCCGGAAGATCCCATGACAGCAGCCATGGGAGAACCTGGCTAAAGCCTCTTCCGGATCAAAGTGTGAGTTTCTGTTAAGGAACAACAACCATGACCAAAAGCTCAAGCTTGTGGTTGTAGGTTTGGAAAAGGTTTTATATACTCTAATGGTTTCTTCAGTTTGTAAAAGGATTGATCCTGCATAGAACAAATAAAGAATAATGTTTTTGCATTCTGTTTTGGCAGCCAGAAGCAGCAGCTGCAATTCCAAGATTTGGGGAGTGGGACAGGAACCCTCAATCAGCAGAAAACTACACCGAGATTTTCGAAAAAGCGGGAAAGAAAATGCAGCAAGAATCAGCTGATAGGCCATCATACAAAGCTCAGAAACAAGTAGAAGAAGCTTCTCAGGTATGCCCTGAAGCTCCTTTTCATTCAAATGGTCCTTAAGCAACACATATTTCCCTTTCTCATTCCCCCTTTGCATTTTTCTTTTTTCTCTTTACCCAGAAATGTTGCTTTCCCTGGTGATATCAAAGATGAAGCTTTCTTAGGTTTCATCTTGATCCAATTCATGATTACATCACTGGTTGTTTTGCAGAATGGGCAGGTTTCTGCTTCAATTTATATATTTGTATTTTTCTGATATATAAGGGGTATTTGTCGTGCAGATGAACCATATTTTTGTGAGCTTTTTTCTTCATTGAGTTCTTCTATTATGGACCTAAGATCTACTGTGGTCCTTCTCACATAAGCAAATTAATAAAATTTTAAATAAAAAAATACATGCATATTCGTATAATAATATATTGCTTATGTTACAAGGCTCATATTTTTTTACATGAACCCAAGGTCCATATAAGAATTTAACTTGTTTTGTTAGTGTCCGACCCTAGATTTCAAATTTCTTTAGTGTTAATCTTCATCTTTTACATGTAATATGTTTAGTTTTAGTACTCTGTTTCATGTAACAATGCACTTCATATTTCTGAAATGGTTTTGGTTATTATTTTGTTTAAGAATTTGGCCAAAGACTTTCTTCTAATTGTATCCATCTAAGAAAATAGATTTGTGTATTATATACGGAGTATAAATAAGAGATTCAGGTTTATATAACAGTTTCATAATCCTTTCAAAACTATAAAAGCTCACTAGTATTGGGCAGGCTTCCTTCTCCACTCTGTTCGGGCTCTGTTTATTTCTAGTTCACTGCCAGATAATCTCAGTAAGTGTAGGAAGCGCTCGTTTTGAGTGCTCATATTAGTAGGGGGTCCTTTTGGTCCGCTCACTTCTATGGAAATGGTTTCGTTGGCCAATTCAACGCTTGTGAGGGAATCAACCACGTCATCGTGTTGGCATTCGCGTCTATAATCTAATGTAATGCTTTGTAGCTCATGTGTGTCAATGGTTTCTTGGGGCATACTCTGCAATAAGCATATCAACAATAATATAAAGAGAATGGTGTATGAAAACAAAAGTAAAGCTGTCATTTTTATTCATTTCACAACTTTAAATACAAAAAAGGTTAACTTCTAAAGCAGATATATATATATATGGCTTCCAACTAGGTGCATTGGTAAAACCATGCAAATCAAGGTTGTCAATATGAAAATGATAGGGGTGAAATGGTATGAGTAGAGAGGTAAACGGTTGTATGTCATTTAAGACCTGTTTGGTGAAGGTTATTCGGCATAAATGACTTGTCACTGAACTTTCTAAAAAGAAAAAGTACATTTCTGAGGAGGACACATTGAAATAGTAAAGAGAAAGAAGATGCATCAGGATGGAAAGTAAAAAGTGTACCAACCTCAAGAACCCATCCGATGTAGGTGACATTATTTACATGTTGGTTCATATCCAAATCACCTCTTCTTGGCTGCAAAAGTCACTAAATATATGTAAGTGTAATAGGATATAACTATCAAACTGATACCAATACTGCTACTGCCCTAGTGTCTACTTACCACCAGTCCTAGTCGGGAAATCTCGGCAGGATCCTCCAGCTTGGCTATTCGCTTCATGCTTCCATTGTTTGCCTCAGGGAAAGCTAGCCTAGGTGTTATAGGACAGTAAACTAGATACTCATCGTGCAAATCATCAGAGATTTTCTGAAGCCGTCTTGTGTCTTGGTTCATCATCACCCACCTGCTGCATTTATCAAATGATGCAAGTAATAATCTTCAGCGTCTGTGGGTGCAAATGACCAAGAAAAACAAAAAGTTAAATGCAACACCGTGTTTTCATAATTCAAATACTCGTGGGTTTGCTTGGCGGATGGGAAGAAATGAATAAAGACAAAATGCTCAAAACTCCCTTTGTTGTATATATAAAGGCCGAGTGGCTAACCCTGACCGGCTAAAAAGTAAACCTTTGGAAAAATGTTTTCCCTTTTAACGAAACTGCACTGTTTACAAGTGCGAGCCAGGAAATAGGTGGAGTTGGCTTCCCAGGAATTGAACTCCGTCCTTGTACCAAACAAGCCATAAAAGTTCAAGCTTTGTAAATCACAATTGGAAAACTTAGCTGCCTAGTGGTAATACTTCCTCAGCTGTAATGATTATCAATATAACATGAAGAAAAGTATTGTTTGCTCGTTTACATGGATTAAGAGAAAAATCATTAGAACCTGGTAGCCCTTCCAATGACTTCACCATTTGCATAATCTTTAAGAATCCAATCGCGTCTTGCCCGTACTCTCCCCTCACTCTGGCACCAAGTCTCTATCTCAACAACATCGCTCCTGTCCATCATAATACACAATACCACGGATTATTGTTTTAACCAAAAAATTCATAGTTGGTAGAATCCATCGTATTCTCAACTTAAGTCATTACCAAGCAGGGTATTTATAAATCTCAATGTGCATGCGTGCAGTGACCCATATCAGACGAAGTTTTCTCATGTTATGTGTGGTTGAAAACCCGTCTGTCGAAAACCCAACACTCTGAGCATGGTTGCAAGCCACCTCCTATACAGCCAAATTCACATACAAATTGCTGAGGATATAATCTCACTAACACTCAAGCTCAAAAAAGAGACCAATTAATACGGAGTGCGAGGTAAGACTTATAAATTACTCCTCTTATTGTCAATTGGTTTGGGATCGGAATCTCATAATTATACATGGTATCATCGCTATGGCTTAGGAGCTCGCAAAAAAGTAGTTCAAGACAATTCTAGCACTTACAAATCTATTAGAGAAAGTCACAACTTGAGTCACAGAAGAAAAAAAACTCAATTTGCACTTAATGGGATGTTGAGTACCACTATAATCACACCAAGAAAAGGCTAATATGGAATATATAAGAATATAAGTTATCCTCCCATTCCAAATTGGTTTTGTGTTTGGAAGATCAAAATTCTACATCAATGTAATTGATACAATTTGATAATAATTAGTATTATTGAATAATGAACAATTACATCCGTGTATATAGAGAACAGATTGAGAATCCTAATCAAAGTGGAATAAAGAAATATGGTAAGAATAGAATAAAGAAAGTAAAGAGTAATACATAGTAATATTCTATTTCTGATGGGGGAATAACGAGAATGGGGCATATGAATATGATCAACCATTACCTGCAATAGATTGGCAAGAGTTTCAACAGTGGCAGTTCTGTTAATTCCGACCTCGTAGCACCGAACAATGAAATTTTCCTTATAGGAGAACCCATCCTCCGACAAACTCCCAAGCCGTAGCTCGTCGGCGGCAAGGCTGGGCGGCCGGAACCCAACCTGCTGGCTCTTCATGGGCTCCTGGGCGATGACAGCTTGGACCGGACAGTAATTCGCCGGAGAAGAGGACGATACGACGGCGTGCCGGCGGCCGGCGGTTGACAGTCTGGGGCTGGGAAACCGGGAGGGAGTGGTAAGTGTTTGTGGAAATGCGTCAACGGCGGGGATCTTGCACGCCGAGAGTGCCCCTCGCGGCATCATCGACCTGGTTGGTAAGAGTGCTTAGTCGGAGGGCGGTTCTGCGTGGGGAAAGGGGCGCGATTTATGCGGACTGCAAGAAAATGGCAGTTCGTCGTCGGTTAGTTTACCCGCGCTGGATCGGCTCAAAAGTGTGGGAATGCCATACGTATGTGTTGAATCCCACAACTCTCACCTACCCTACGCTAGGGGTATGGAAGTGCAATGATAGGGTACACCCGACCTAGCATTCATTTCCTAGGTAATTAAAAAATGGAGTACAAAGTATATATATTAAATATTGATATAAAAATAATTTTATTAGATTTATCAAATAAAATATTTTAAAAATGTTATTTTAGATAATTAAAATACCATATAATTTTTATTTAACTATAGCTCAAATGTTTATTCTGATTGACTACAAAATCTTAAAACTGAATAAATGCCTCTGAAACGAAGAAAATACATTCATAATTTTTATCTTCACTTAATTTTTTTTATTTTTTATGGTGAAGATAAGTTCAGGATACGAATTGGGGTACATAAAGGTATACCCCAAGCATTTTCTATATAGTCGTAGAATATTCTGTTTTGATAGTTGCACATGGTTTTCATCAAGGTGTACATGTCAGCGCGACATTTTGCAATTGCATAAACAACAATAGTTTAAAAACCTAATAAGTAAATAAGTAAATTGAACAAAATTACTATTTTCTTTTCAATTTCATTTTGGATTATAAATGAAAAGATTGAATTCATCACTCTATAAAAGTCAATTATTTTACAATCAAATTAAACTCAATTCAATATATAGTTTTCAATATACTCTCTTCGTCCCAAATTATTTACAACATTTTGAAGAACGTGTAAAATATTATCCTTATTAAAATCATATTATTTACAAAAGTAAAAAAAATTATACCGTTCAAAAGTTATACAAAACAAGATGCAACAAGAATATTTTATATTATTAAATGATCAACAAAAACGAATAAACAAACAAAGTTAACGTTAACTTTTAATGTTAACGTTTTACCGGTAGCTTTTTGTGTTAATATTTTCTAAATAATCTAAATAATTACTATCACGTAAAGATTTATTTAAAATAGCAACGATAGTTAAAAATGTTATTTTCAAACAAAGTCAGAAGAATCAATTGACAATAATTTCAACATTCAATAAAGTTTTCAAATTTTATCCACAAACTTTTTTTAATTATGATCCACATACTTTAAAAAAGAATAATTTAAAAGACTTGCAGAGCCAAGCTTGTTCGTCCGCTCGTCGCGCCTCTTCGAGACCCCCAGCTTGTTAAAACCCTAGTCACACAAACCAACCCCGACGCATCGCCATTTCTCGAGCTCCGAGTTCGACCAGTGGGATTTCGGTAGAGAATCATCGAAAAGTTCCCTCGCGCCTAGACGATTTGGATCCGATTCGATTTCAGGTACGATTAGATCGCTCCTCAATCTCCATGTTTGAGCTCCATGAAACAATTGTTCACACATGCCGTATCCGTATTTCGCAGCGTTCTGCAGCGTAGAGTAGCTTTTTTTTCTGCAATATTTCAAACGTCTAGCGTATCCTCGCTCCTAGCTTGGTAGTTTGGGTTGAGGAGCAATGGAGACAGTAGCTGCTGCAGCCGTACCACAACCACCGGTTTCTCCCCAAGTTGTAAGTAATTTTCAGTGTCTTCTTCTTTGGTGCGCTTTTGCCTGTCTCCTGGTTTTTAATCTTTTTTTTGGTTTGATGATACATGATAATAGGTGGGTAACTTGTTTGTCCAGCAGTATTATAACATACTGCATCTCTCTCCCAACATTGTCTTCAAGTTTTACCAGGATTCGAGTAAACTAGGCCGCCCTGAGGAAGATGGATCCATGAGCATCACTACTACTATGAAAGTAAGACCTTTCTCTTTGTACATTCAGAACCCATTTTTTGCGCAGCATTTTAGTTCGTCGTTTAAAAAACTGTCTGGGTCAGGCTGATTTTCGTAGGAGCTGCCATCCTTTGTTGAAATGAACAATGTTGGGTGGGTTCGGTTGCTGAAAATAAGAATTAGAAGCAGCCCCAACCCAACTTGTTTCAAAAGGTTTAGTTGTGCGTCGATGGGTCCATAAACTCTATTGTGAAACAAATCCATAATTTGCTTGAATGAAATGTACTTTTTAAAAACTAACCACAATATCTAACCAATTAAGAATTTTAAACAATTGAATATGAAAAATGTTAACGAAAAATGGTTGTTGACTATGTTATACTGAGTAGCTTTTAGCTATAAAATGCATGACAATTTGACTTCACGGCGCTTTGAAAGTTGTTGAAAAGTAAACATTCTGTGGTTAGAATTTACTTAGAGGGGAGAAAATTGTTGGTAGCCACATATTCATTATCAAAATAGGGATAAAAGTAAGTGTAAAATTTTATTTAGGATGTCCAAAAAAGAAAGGCTTAAAGAATTTTATGGGACAAAGGGATTATGTAATTTTATTAATACAATATTGGGTTATTTGAACATATATGGTATATACTATAATCTGTTTATTATATTTATAATTTTATTGAACTGTATGAAACACACTGGTCTTGTCCAAATTGTTTTGCTTTAAGACTTCTCCTGCTCTGCCCCTTTTTGTAAGTTTAGATTTGGGACCCGCTCCTGACTCGCCCCAAACTGTGTGGGTCGGTTCCAACCGGTGGTTGCAAAGCCCGTTTGCCACCATTGTGACTAATATCCTATTTGGACTTTTGGAGTTATTTGACTTTTTCCCTCATCATTTTTCGTATTTGTTTCGTAATGTAAGTTAATTGTAAGAAGGTACTCACGTATCTATAGTCTATGAAAGTTTAAGATAATCTCAGTGAATGAAACAAGAAAAGTTTCAATCTTTTCCTCCTAAAAGTCACAGGTGTGCAGACAACCATAATTACATGATTGAAAACGTGATTATTGTTCTTTTAACCTGACTAAAGCGTCCTTTTCAAAACATGTAAAACAACATTTGGAAAATGACTCTTGGAAAATGAGTTATTTTCCCGAAGTGATTTTCTTTTTCTAGTGTTTGTCTAGAAGTATGAAAATTCTCTTTTTCTGTTTGGTTCATTTCCAGAAAATGAATATTCAAAAAATGAGTAACGAAAATTACAAGTTCTCCTGGTTCTATGCAATAATCTTTGCCACAAGTATCGTCAAACTGAAGGTGTTCATACTCAAGTAGTGGTAGTAATCAACCCATTGCTATACCCAAAATCACTGGTAAATAAATACCTTAAACACAAAGAGTTGGTATGTTGGGTGTGTTTCACAGTTAGCCCTTCGAACCTGGTTTGTGAATATTTTGGCGACAGTGGGTGTGTTGGGTGGTATGTTGGGTGTGTTTAATTTTTAGAGTTGTTTTGTTTCTTCAGAAGAAAATAGAAGCAATAACTAGGTCTGTATTTGCTTTTGAGTTTTGACCTTTTGAGCGAAGAGGGAGATGACAAAGAAGAAGATGAGAGGAGGAGGGTGCGAGTGAAGAAGGAGATGATGAAGAGGAGAGGGGGAAGGATGGTGCGAGCATAGAAGGAGATGCGAAGAAGATGGAGGCTGCGCTACAGGGAGATGGAAAATGTCTTTCGGGTTATGATTCAGGAAGACAAATTCTGGATATAAGCCCTCATTTTTCATTGACCATCATCTTATTTTCTATTGACTTTCATTTTCCAATGTTACCAAGCACACCTATGGGAGTCATTTTCTACCTTTCCAAGCGGACCCTAAGACATGATTACTAAAGAAAGAGGCAAAGTCTGATGTTTAAATATCCTTCTTTCATTTGATCTGAAACTCTTTTCTGGTGGTGAATAAAAATCTGCAGGCAATCAATGACAAGATACTCTCTCTTCATTATGAGGACTTAAGAGCTGAAATAAAGTCGATTGATGCCCAAGAATCATTCAATGGAGGGGTATCTCTTCTTGTAACTGGGTACCTGACAGACAAGGACAATGAGATCCGAAACTTTGCACAGTCTTTCTTTTTGGCACCACAAGACCAAAACGGGTTCTTTGTATTGAATGACATGTTTCGATATGTGGAAACTGTGAGTCAACATGATAGGAACCATAATCCAGTGGTTTTGCCTTCTTCCCCAGATCCAAGTAATTCACACTTTCTGTATTTTTTGCTGCTTATGGACCATATTCTTTTATGAACGTATATTCCAGTTTTTGTTTCCCACTTATTGGTTGCAGCTCCTCCCGAGGAAAAGAATCATGTCTTGGAGCAGGACACACCATCAATAGAGGATTCAAATGGAGAAGTGGACATCCCGGTTGATAAAGGAAATGTTTCTGAAGTTAAAGAGGAAGTATCTGTTACTGAGATTATTAATGAATTACAGGATGATTCTCAGGTGGCAGTCAAATCCAACAGAGTTGAAGAAGTGCCGAAGAAGTCATATGCTAAAATTGTAAGTGCACGTGACAAGCAGTTTTTCAATATTGTGTTCATGAAGTTGGTGGTGATTTGATCTAACTATTTAGCTGTTTGCCCTGAAAATTTCCATATATTACTCTATATATAGTAATGTATTCCTTTGTGAGTTGTGACTATTTTTAGCTTGGGCCATTTCTTTTTAGTCTAAAACATGGCATTGTTTTACAGGTCATAGAGCTCACAGAAAAAACTGCTACTTTTTCTCCTCCACCAGCATCTGCCTCCAAGAAGATGGTAGCAAAAAATGTAGAGAAAGTGAATCAATCTCCAACCCCAGTAGCCAATGGTCCAGATGGTTCAGTGTCTCATGATGATTCAAATAATCAAGAGGCTGAAGGCATGCTATTCATATTTTGGAAATTGTGTACTAGATATTCCATCACTAAAATATTCCTTTCGTTTATACTTTTTCTTACAATTTCTCGGGTTTATCCTACTTTCAGCATCTGAAGGCTATTCGATCTACATAAAAGGGCTGCCTTTCAATGCCACACCATCTTCTCTTGCTGAAGAGTTTAGGAAGTTTGGGGATATCAAACATGGGGGCATTCAAGTCAGAAATAATAAAGTATGTATATACAATTTAGTACTTTTATTACCATATCTTTTTCATTTAATAATTTGTTGCTGGCTTGTGACAGATACAAGGATTTTGTTTT